TTTTACATTTATCAAAATCTTTCAAAACATATAAGATTTATCTTAATTTAAATCTAATAAAATATATCTTCTTATATTTCACTCTTACCTAATTCAAATAGTTTTTAAAGATTAAATTCCTAAATCTTAGGAATTATAAAAAATTATACACTGTCTAAATTAATATTCATATAAATTTAAATAAATAAAATTTATAGTTGAACCACTATTATTTACCAATTTTTTGTCTTTATTTTTTTATAATTTAAAATAAAAAAATATTTTATCTCAATTTAAAATTACACACATATCTAAATTTAAAATTATATTAACTTCTTTTATCTTAATTTAAAATTAAACTTGGATAAACTAAATTTTTAAAATTTTAGATTTTTTTAAATTAAATAATTATTAAATATATATTTATGATTTTTTTCTTACAATCAATATTTTCTTTTTTTCGTTATAAAGTTTTGAGAAGGTAAAGTTTCAAAATTAAATATGAAAAAGTTTTTCATGATATATCACATGTGTAAATCTTAGTTTTTATACTAAAGTAATATATACTTTTAAAAATTTATTTAATTGTGAATAAGAGATTAACTTTCTCATTGATATTTGTATATAATTTTACTTTCATAATTTAAAACTTTCATAATGCTTATTTAGATTCTTTCATAATAATTTATATATAGACAATTTTTTTAATTTTAAACTACAAATTATAAATGATTATAATTATTTTTATTTATCTATATATAATATAAAAATTAATATAAATTAAAATTTTAATTACAAAAATATATAATAAAAAACTCTGTGCATGGCACAGGTAAAAAAAAAAACTAGTTATTAAATATAATGACAGTGGAGTTTTTTTAATTCTACATACGAGATTAAGATGGTGACACATGTTCTTATATATTTAAAAAAAAATTTAAATGAAACATGTGTCACCATATCAATTTCACTTGTGAAGTTAAAAAACTTCACTGTCAGTGTATCAAATAATTTATCATCAAGTATTACCTTTATATATAAGAAATCATTGAATAAACAAACCAATAAATTAATATATATATATATATAACTAGATAAAATTCAATATAAGTTAAAAAAAAAAAAACTATGCATAATGAGATTTGAATTTAAAACTTTAAGGTTGAAAAAAAAAAGTTAATTAGTCCAATAACAATCCTTGAATTGAAAAAAAATAATAATAAAACTGAAAAACTCGAATCTAAAAGAAAAAAAAGTCATGCTACTTATTTTTGTATTCAATATTTGTAATTGAATTATATAATTATTGAATAAATTCAAATGTGATGATAAATAATATGTTGATAAACCAAGTTTATAAAATGAGAAATATTATAATCATATTAAGAATTATTATCATGTTAGGTAAAACAAAAGTGTTATGATAAAACTAATATGTTGATACTTTAGCTCTCGAAATAATAATCTACAGATTCGACTATTGGTGGTCTTAGATTGCAATGGCTATTAAATTTTTGGTTTCATTAGAGAAATTAATTGGGATAATATTCTCTAAGATGGAAGTTAGTGCAATTTTTAATGGGTTGTAAGTGGCATGAGAGCATGGATGTAGGTTTGTTTCTTATCTTGGAATTTGATTCTCTCATGCTATGAATTCATAAAGAACTTTAATTGAAAATTCCTTTTTATAGGGAAGTTTTTGTAAGATTTTCAATAATTTTATACAAAATTCAAGTCTACATAAAATCCTGATTTCCAATTCAATTGATGTTTGGACTTAATGATTTTCACCGCAATAATGAATTAATAAAATAGACATTGATCCATAATAAAATTTTTAAAGAAAAATCTTAAAGAAACTTGATTTCTTTCTTTTGACTCTTTTAAATTCTGATGTACATTTCTATGGAAAGAAAGTATTGATATATAGGTAGAGAGAAAATCAATTTCTAAGATAAAGCCCTTAATTCACACATTCCATCGGAGCATGCAATTATTAGAAAACTTGAAAATTTCTCGTTACACCCATGTCACACTTTTTTTTTTATGAAATATAAATTATTTAAAATTTAACTTAATAATAAATATCTATGTTTTTTATATAAAAATTTGAATTCACATATTCTCAAATAAAATAATAATTAATTAGTAAAATATTTTCTAATTTTAATTATTTAAAATCATAATATTTTAATATAAAATAAAAATATGATTTAAATATGATTAATAGTGTACATATGTAATTTTCATTTATTCTGAATTTTCCATAATTACTTGAATTTAATTCTCAAGTTAAAAACTATATATATACATATATTATTTTCAAAATATTCTCCCCATATTTTGACTCATTAAATCATTTTTTATCCTAAGAAAAATTTTGAAAGAAAAAATATCACTAAAAAAATCCAATTCCAATTATTGAAAAATTTAATAATAATAATAATAATTATTATTATTATTATTATTATTATTATAATATGTAAATAAATAGAATCATTAATCCTAAATTTAACATTAAAAATATACATATATAACACAATTTATATATGTATATATAATAAAAGATAAAAGGTATACTATAAAATATTCCTATACTTATTCCTAAACACCTTTTTAATTTAACATTTGGACGGAATCAAAAAATTTAGGCTTGATTAAGTAGTGTTAATAATAGTCTAACAAGTTTTACCTTTCTGATTCAAAAAATATTTTTGTTCATAAAAATTTGGAAGACGAGCACAAAAAAAAAAAAAAGGCCATAGCGTTGATTCTTTTACCTACCGAATTAGTTGCGTCTAATAATTCAAATATATGTATTTATTTGTCTTATGTAGACTATATAAAATAAAATTATTTTATTATAATTTATATTAATATGAGAAAAGTATATATAATTTTTTAAATTCATTCATATATCTTTTTTATCATATCCTGATTTATTGCTTGAGTGGTGTTATTTATGATTAAAAAATTAATTTTTAAAAAAATTATTTAAATATTCATTAGTTAATTGTCTTTTTGTCTTTCACGCTCTTTTTTAATAAATTATCAAAAATTTATTTTCAAAATTTTTTTTTAATGTACCAAAAATTTATATTTTAAAACTTCTTTACCGTACAAGAAAATACATTTTCAAAAAAAATTACAATAATCTAGAAATGTATTATAATTATTTAAAAATTTAGTTTCAAAAGTAATTTTTTTTTGTTTATTTATTACAATCCTTCGATTAATGTCTAGTACAAAAATATCAGATATCCCTTATTACAATTTTTAAACAAATTTTTAATGATTTCTTTAAGGTATGAATTGTTTAAATCAAGTAATAAAAACTTTTAATTTTTTGATTGTACTATCTGTTCAATAATGTTTGCATATTTTTTTTATTCTAACAAATGTATAAATGAGAAAAATCGATAATTATTAAGAGGTGTTAATGCAAATTGACTATTGCATCATATGTGATAAGAAAGTCACACTCCATCAAACATGATGCAGTTGTCAACTTGCATAAGCACATTTTCATATATAACGATTACTTTTATATACATATTTATCATAATTATAAAATTATGTTATTAAACAAACAATGAAAGATTAGAGGTTTCAATTGTCAAATTTGTTAATCTGCTAATGATATTGTCAGAGTTAATGTTTTTTATCGTTTCAAATTATTGTGTGCCAAAATTTTATGAATGTTCGAAAACTATTGAAGAATTTCGAAAATATATTTTTAAAAATTAGTGAAAGTTTTTAAAAATAATTATCCAAAAGCTTTTAAGGGATTCCAAAAATATATTTTTAAAAATTTTTAAATGATTCTAGACATCAATTTATAAAAATCTTCAATAATTTTTGGATATTCATTTTTTGAATGTTTGAATCACACTCCAAATTGCATTAAAAAATTTTAAATATTAAATTTTTTGAAACTAAATACAAAATCAAATAAAAAAAAGTTCACCTTTAATTTTAAGTTATCTAAGGTTAAATAGATTATTAAGATTTGATTTGGGTTTAATCCTTCAAAAGTTTAGAGTTTTCGGGTGAAGAAAATGAGGTACGAGAATATAAGTGTTTAAATTTTATAATAAATTTATGTTTTAGGTTTGGAATGTATTAAATAAAAAATTAGATGTTAATAATAACACGGGGTAAAAAAAAAACTTGGGTGCAAATGGCACCATTCTTGGGTTAATCCAATAGTTTGACGAAAAGCGAGAAATTACGTGGTGCCTCAGGGTGGCATCTTGCATAAGCGACTTTTTACGCGTAACGATTTCTCTTATACGCGAGTTCATCAAAATTGTAAAATTATTATAAATGTTATTAAATGGATAGTGTTTAATGATCGAAAAATTAAAAGTTTTAATTGTTAAATTTGTTAGTCTGCTAATCATATTGTCAAGATTAATTTTTTTTATGATGTCAAATTATTGCGTAACATAAATCTATAATATTTGAAAATTATTAAAAAATTCTAAAAATATACTTCTAAAAATTCATAAAAATTTTTTAAAATGATTATCCAAAATTATTTAAAGGATTTCGAAAATAAATTTTCAAAAATTTTTAAATAATTTGGAACATCAATTTATAAAATTTTTTAATAATTTTAAAAAATTATTTTTTAAATATTCGAATCATTTTTAAATTGTACCATAAAATTTAAATTTTAAAATTTTTTTAAATTAAATACAAAATTAAACAAAAAAATTAAAAAATTATATCTAATTTTAAATTATCTAACGTTAAATGGATAATTAAAATTTAATTTGGGATTTAATCCTTTTAAGAGTTTAGAGTTTTCGAGTGAAGAATATGAGATATGAAGAGACAAGGGTTTGAATTTTATAATAAATTTATGTTTTAAATTTGGTTGGGTGGAATAAAAAATTAGATGTTAATAATAATACGGAGTAAAGAAAAAAAAAAAAAAAAACTTGGGTGCAAATGGCACCATTCCTATTACTTTGAGTTTTTCCTTCTAGAATGACGTGGGTTAATACGGTAATTTGACGAAAAGCGAGAAATTACGTGGCGCCCCGGGGTGGTAATGTGGAGAAAAAAAGAAAATAAATAAAAAAAGGTTTAAAAGGAAGGCTGAGACGCTGCGACCTAAGGCTCTCTCAAAGTCACGCACTCTCTCTCATTACTCTCACTCTTCGTGGCAGAACAAAAAGCCCCTGGAGCACTTTCAATTTACGAAATTAGTAATCACAGAAATCAGTGGAGAGTGCGAAAAATCCCTTGCCTTAACCCCTTCCTCTCATCGAATGATCGATCCCGCGGCGACTCGGGGAGAAACTAAGAAATTAGAGCTATAAGGCAGCTGATTAGTTAACCGGAAAATTAGACTCCATGTCGCCGGGAGAAACGGTCTCCCAGTCACCTCTAGACAAGCCTCTCAACCAACTCACTGAGGATGACATTTCTCAGGTCACCCGCGAAGATTGCCGCCGTTACCTCAAAGAAAAAGGTCTCTCTTTGCATTTTCTTGTGTATTTTTTTTCTTTCTATGTAAAAGTGCGTGAATGTTGTGTTTCTAATTTTTATCTTTTTTTGGTTTTATTTGCTTGTAGGGATGCGGAGACCGTCGTGGAACAAATCGCAGGCGATTCAGCAGGTGATCTTGCTGAAAAATCTTCTCGAAACGACAACAGATTCGGACGCCATCGAAGCTCGCAAAAAACTTTGTATTCCCTGCCCCGAAAATCCGCCTCGTGTGCGTGCATTTTTTTCGATAAATAAATCTTATTTTATTTTATTTTTCTTTATTCTAGGCATGAAAAGTGCCAGTGGTAGACATTTTTTTTTAGAAACTTTGCTCTTTTAGTCAAACTAGTTGAATTAAATAAAATTTTCGCAGGTCGTTTTTTATTCAACTGTTCTGCCGAACGAAACGACACAGCATAACGGGATCCTGGTACCAGCCAACAAATCCATTCCTTGTCCCTGTCCAGATCCCTCCAAGTCCGATTCTTCCGGCGATAATTCCTGTCGAACCGCCATCTCTGGAAATGACTCTGTTTCTCCAAGGTTGTTTATATTTTGCACTCTATTGTTTTCATTTTCTAAATAACCCTAGTTTTGCATGGAATAAAAGCATTTGAGCTAAGTTCGATGAGAGTGAGATCATTTATTCTCCTATTCTTCGGGAAATTTGATCCAATATATTGCTGGTCAAGCTTGTTCGAGATTGATGGTTGCTAGAGTCAACGGTTAAAAATGAACATTTCAATGTGAATGGAATATGAATTTGCACATGTGCCCGAATACTCTGTGTGATATCTGTCATTTCGGAGGTCGAATTTGTGCTTGCAATTACTACCAAATCTTTTGGTCAACAATGACGGCATGCCAATCATAAGTTCTTTTTCTCCTAGTATTAGACATGCAATGTGGATTCTGGCGGATCCTCAAGAGTTAATTCACCCAATTATGCTCTATAATTAATTCTAACGATTTAAATTGATGGATAATCAGATGCGCCACACCAGCATATTTGTTTCAGGAATGGCATGGGATGCACGGAAGGATCGATGATGGTATTAAACATGGGATAAATGATGTGACACCACGCTAAGTGTTGATTTTTTTTTTTAGTTTGTCAGAGTCATCATAGAGTAACTGTATTAAGGTCTTGATGCTATAAATGTCTTTTAACTCAAAACAATGATGAAACTCTAAGTTACTGGTACATATTAATTCCAAGGATGAAGGTGAGTAGTTTATAACTCATTGGTCTTGTCATTAAAATGGAATGACATTGAAGTTAGCTATAGAAGAAATATGGAGTAAGTTCCAGACGCGTTTTTTGCTTGTTAGAGTGCTTGACTATCGTCTCATCTGGGAATAAGCGCCTCTTTGCTGTCTATGGTTAGCTTGCATTGGACTGATTCCGAATTTATTGTCCTACTTTTGATGACAAAACCAAATCTAGCTCCTATAAATAAATCAAGAGCTCTTGATGGAGAAAGTAGGTGATGGAAACATCGAAATATTAGAAGAAAAATTGGCATTTTAAAGGATGTTTGCTTGACAATTTTATTAACTGAAATGTAAACTAAGAAAGTGTGCTAAAGCTTACATTTCAAAGCATGTTATATGGTATACATATAATACATCACCTAGAATATTGGAGATTAGCAATTTTCGCTTGTCAAATGTGGGTTTGCTGTTGATGTTTCTCTGTGATCAGCACCAACTGTAGAGGAACTAGATTCTTTCAGGAATATTCAAGAATAAAGTAGTTGAAATCTTGTAGTTCTGTTATCAAAATTTTGGCTTGTCATAGGTCCTCTGTTTATAACTTGCATGACAACTGTTTTTTTGGCCAAACATGACTACCGATTAGAGGTTCATGTAGATAGGTAAGGGCGATTATAGCGTATGACTTTCACTGAATATTTCTTCTTAACCTTCATGATTTTGGCTTTACCTCCTAGTTGTGTAGTTAATATTTCACTGGTGTTGCTGATTTTATGATCATTTATTTGTCTTCATAAAAATTCTTGAAAAAGTTTTTACCACCTTCCAAGTATCAGGATAAGAGTTGATCAAATAAGTGTAGACTTGTAGCATTACACAGAGATGGTAGTGGCTGTGAGTGTTTTCTTCGTCACCTTTTGTAGTGAAGGATTTTGAGGAGATTAGACTTATTTGTTTACTGGTTGAACTCCACTACTTCTTTACTTTGATAGCAAGCTTCATTTCATATTAGATTTTCGCATTGAAATCTTGTATCTTATTATTTTGGTTCAGATTATTTATGGTTTAAAAAATAAATACTCGGCAGTCATAGTTCATTGAAGCATTACCAACTTAAGAACAATTTATATCAAATTGTTTTTGAGTGAAAATTTTGAGCCTTGATCTAGACTGACCTTGAGCATGTCTTCTAAGGAAGATATCATATTACTGATTTTTTCTTACTTGTATATTACTAATTGAATTTAAAAGACTGAAGAATTCTCAACCTCCAGAACCGCAGGTGCAGCAAAAGAGCCAGCAGGACAGATGACAATTTTCTACTGTGGGAAAGTGAATGTCTATGATGATATACCTGGTTGCAAGGCAATATACATTCCTCTTTTCTTTATAGTTCAGACATTATATTGGGTATATCACTGTAAACAAGTGTTATCTTATTCATTTTACAATGGTTTTGCAGGCGGAAGCAATCTTGCAGCTTGCTGCAAGCCCAGTCTCCTTTCGCAAAGAAGCTCTAGTTGATCAAAGGACTGCACCATGGACTATACCATGCCATTTACAGGCTGCAGGTATCAAAATGAGCCCATGTTCTCCAATCGGTATGTTGCCATCGATGCAAACAGGTAGGCTTTTGAGTTGAATGAACCTGTTTTAGTTCGTAATGAACCATGTTATATGCCAAGAGTCTCTATGAATGGGAGATGTACTGGCTTGATTTCAAGTTGCACTTCAAAATGGGTATGATACAGTGTCTAGATCGCAGGATAATTCTCTAATGATTATTGGCATGGCATTTTCTATTTCTTTGCAGTAAAGGTTGGAGAAAACTGTCACTTTCCTCGAGAAGAGAGCAATATATCTCGTGAAAACAGCCTTGGTAACTGCTTCCTTCTAATTATCTTATAAAATCTCTCCTTTTAATATTATAAAATCTTATAAAATGCTATTAGCTGCATTTTGTTTTGATCTTGGTTAAATTTTAACCTTTTGGTTCTAAAACCTGTCTTTTCAGCATTAAGCTATCTTCATTGAATGCTAAATTCTGTACAGTTGAACTAATTGAACTACACCAAGGGTGCAAGTGTGATGAAAATTCGTTAATTTAATGAATTTGATTGGAATTTACTACTCCCTTGTCTGTAGTTCTCATGCTCGTTAGCACTCTGCCGACTTTATTTCTTATCATCTCCATAATGATTTTAAATATGCCAGAGCCAGTCTCCATGTGCCTCCACCCTCCTTCCCCTCCTTTTTTCTTTGTTTTCTTCCTTTGTCATATCCTTTATGCTGGTTGTAACCTAGAACAACTATATTGGTTGATCTTCTTTTTGTTATACTGATTGCGTGTGAAGTGAAATAAATGAAACTTCAGCTGAACCTGATAATGGGTAAACTGCTTTTATAATAAACTTGGTCCTGGAACAGACATGATGGCATCCAAACATGGTTTATTTGTTGGAGTAACATGTATCCTGTATCCTGGTCTATTTTTTACTATATGAGAACTGAAGTTTTATATCCCCACCCTGTCACCTCTCCTCTAAACCTCCCAACGATAAAAAAAAAAAGCTAGAACAGATTTGTCTGTACAATCTATTAGAAGTTACTCTCAATTGCTTGTCTGCTTGAGTAGATAATTCTGGTATTTTGCCTACAGATTTTTGGGCTATGGCTCTATGATTATTTCCCGTTTCTCATTTTCTTTGATATGAAATAGAAGGATACGGTGTTTCTTAGGTGGTGCTGTACTGGGATGGACTAACTGACCTTGATTCTGAGCCATGACAACTCTGGTGGACCCTTGATAAAATCTCAAGAGATTTATGTCTAACTTGAGAACTGCTGTATAGAGAAACAAATGTCATTTAGGCTCCATATGGTACAATGGAAAATCACTTCCGGAAATGATTTTCCGCTTTTTTTTTTTTTTTTTTTTGTGTTTGGATGACCAAAAAATGATAAAGTCAACAGAAATTGATTTCTAGTCAAAAGCTAACGGTGCCCATTTGAGAGTAATTGTCTTCTATTCCTTTAGTCCGGAAGACAATTTCTTCCAGCTCAACTTCTCTCTCCTTCTCTCAAAAGGCGAGCATATCTACAATACTTTAGCTTACAATCTTCACAAATCCAGCAAACAAGCTCCAATTTCCTTCTCTAACACCAATCTCTCTTCTAAACTCATTTCTTGTTGATTTCTTCTCTTCCTTCAAATACAATAAGCCACCAAAAAGGCAAGAAAGCTCCCTAACATTCCCGTGGCAGCAACAAGAAAACTCACAAGATCTCATAAAAGTCATTTTCTTCATCAAAAGCTTTCTCTATCCTCCTTGATCTCCCTTTTGGAGCTTCAATCTCTAAGCTTATCTTGTATGCCCATGGGTATTTTGAAAAAAAATCATTTTTTTCTCAAATATTGTTATTTGGTTATTTTATTTGGTTTATTTTTGTGTTTTTATGTATTTAAAATGAATATGTTGAGTTAAAGAAGGCTTTAAAAGAGAAGATTAAAGGAAGGAGAAGATTAATAGCGAAGAAAATGTATTTGTTTTCCTTTGAAACAAGCACCGACAAATATTTTTCTCTAAAGTGATCCAAACACTGAAAAATTATTTGTTTTCCAAAAATTTTCTTCAAGGAAAGTCTTTTATTTTCTGGATGTTATTTTTCGATTTCCAAATGGAGCCTTAGCATGCATTTTCAGCTTCATCTGTTGGTTTAGCTGGGTAAATCCACTTGCAACCTGGACATCAGATTTATTAGAGATAAAGCTTTTTAGCATTATCTGAATATCACAAGCTAGTACAAATCGGCCAAACTGTGGAAGCAAAGTTGTTCTTTCTTGTGCCTTTTCTTTATCTGCGAACATTCTTTTGGGGTCAAGTCAAAATTCCTTTTTTATTCCAAAAATGAAATAGGATTGAGTTTTGAATTTTAGATGCTTGTTTTATGTGTTTGTGCATAAATATTAATGTGATAACTGGTACTGTCAATAAAGCCCGTAAAGCTCATTTTCATGGCTGGAATGATTTCTAGTCATTAAGGTAATCATTTGATCTAATGATCAATTGATGAAAAGAAACCAATATATTATGGTTTTCACAAAATATACAAGACGGTGGTGTCTTTTCCGCATTGGTGATATCGACTTTCTCAATAATTTGTCTTTATTTGCTTTTAAGTATTATTTTATGTAACTTGCTTCCAGAAGGTCCCAATAGCAGAAAAGCATTGGTGCAAAGATATCTTGAGAAGAGGAAAGACAGGTATCTTTCATGGCAAATATGTCATACATCAGAACCAAATAAGCCTACAGTCTAGTTTGCTTTGCTGTTTGTTTCTCATACCCCTGTTAGATGAAGGTTTAAGAACAAGAGAAAGTTGGCAACGTCTTCATCTCCTACCTTAGACATCTACTTAAATCAAGTGGGAGATCAGTTCTCAAATGAGCAGCAGTTGAAGCAAAGTGAACCATATTATTCTCCCCAAGCATGGCCACCTCACACACCTCTTTGGTGCAGCTCCATTGAAAATGTTCCAAAGATTGCCAGTCTCGCTACACTCCCTGATGCGAAAGGTGAGAGTGACTTATCTCTTGCACGCCTTGTCTTGTCTTTATGCGATAATGGGTTTGAACTAATGAGAAGCCAATGTCCCATTCTCTTTGCATATAACTGATTTTGAAACTTCCACCCCCAGCCCCAGATTTCATCATCATTCTGCAATTTCGTAAGTTATTACCTAGTGGAAATGTTAGGTCGTTATTTATCATAATTTGTAGCTTCTTTGGATTCTAACAGCAGGAAAGGAAGCCCGGTTGTGGATTCTCTTATTTGGACAGTTTTGCTGGGGCTTTTATTATATGAGTCTTACACTAGTGCCACTAGTTAGTATAAACTTTCCTGTTAGCTCAATATCGTTCAACGGCCTGAACTGATCATTAGCAGAAATGCATCATATTTATACAGTAAACTTGCATAATTTAATGGACTAGTATTACCAGGCGAGCCGGTCATCTCCTTGCATTTCATCTTGTATAATTTTTCACTATTCTTATTATTATATCAAACTATTATCAGAACATCTGAACATGGAACTTAAGATAAATGGATGTGATTGCCTTATTGCAGATGTATTTAAAATATGAGCTTGGATCAGCCATGACTTGGTGGCCAAGGCCTAAGTACGGATGCAGGTATGGATGAAGCATGCTCACAGTGTATCTTTCCTTTTAAGAGTATGTAGCATAATATTTAACCTGTTGTATTAATTGAGGCCATGGTTACGTAGCTAAATGAGGAATCTAGTTCAGTGCTGCTGATCTATATTTTTCTTTGTACGATTTCATTTAGTGAATTGCAGTAAGCTAAATGATGATGTAGGCAACTGAAAGAGAAGAGTTACTTATGTTGGACCATGGTTATTTTATGCAACAAAGTTTTTCTAGCTAATATCAATCTTTCATATGAAATTGAAAACAAATGAACCATTTGAAAGTTTTAAAAAAACATGGTATAGCAAAGTTAAATATTATAGGTCACATCTCCAGACAAATGAACCATGATCTAACAAGCTCAAGAGGGGAGCTATGTTGGGTTTTGAACGTAATTGAAACATGCGTATACACAACATGCATGCATTTGATCATGTGCAAGATTTAGCTTATAATTTATATTTTTATTTTTGTGTCAAGCATTAATCCTTTAAGATCACGAAGTTAGGCTGTAAAATTTCAGATTCAGTCATCCAAAGGGTCTAGCTTCTAACGAAAGTTTACATGAATAGGAAGTGAATGATCTCTCTTGAAGGAGGAGAAGAATAGATGGCCAAACATTATTCCAGTAGTGTTTGCGGTAGCATCTCTCTTTAATTTTCGAAGGAATTCTCAACGCATGAGATCATGGAATTGATGAATAATCTTTACGTTACGAGGACTGGTCAAAGGGTCTTTAAATAGAGTGTCTAGCCTTTGCCCTCCTCCTAGTAGGTTTAGTGTATTTCACTATTCTCTTTGAACTTTTAAATTTTTTAATTGTCTCTTAAAATTTTTAAATACATTTTTTATCAATTTTTTAATTGTGAAATTTGGTTTCTGGTTTTATTTCTTACCTTTTTCTCAGGTTAAAATTTTTGTACATGGTTCCCTGTTGAAATCTTATGAATTTTCTTCATTTTCTAGGAATAAAAAATTCATTATATTCAAAATGAAAAGAGGAATAACAAGGTTGCAAGCAACTTATGAAATGCCCGTTACAATTCAAACCCAACAAAAACAAATAAAAGAGACAGAGAAGAGATAAAAGGGAGGTAAACAATTAAATGTGAGTCAGTGAAATTAAGGTTTTGTTTCTTAGTAAAAAATAAATTTTAAAAAATTATTTTTATATTTTTAAGTATTTGATAGAAAATTGACTGATGAACAAAAAATGATTTATTAATTAACAAAAAATATTTTTTAAAAAAGGTAAGATAATTTTTGAAAAAAAAAATTTATGAATAAAACTATTTATTAACGTATTTGAGTATAGTTTTATTTAAGTGAGATTTTATACATGATTTTTTTAAGTTTAAATTTAATTTAATTCGATTCAAAATATTATTAATATTAATAAATAATTTTTTAATATTTTAATTTTAAATATTTTTATAATTATACTCAAATAAAACTTTGAATGTAATATTTAAATTCAAGTTTGATTTAGTTTGACTTAAAATATTATTATATTAATAAAAATATTAATTTTAATTAAAATATTTAAATATTAATATTAAAATTTTTTTATATTTTAATTTTAAATATTTTATTTTTTATATTATTAAAAATAAATATTTTAAATATTTTAATAATAAATAGTATTATATTATTATTTTAATAATAAATAATAAAATATATAATAATATTTTTATTATTTTAATAATTAAATTACATTTGCAGTTAAATTAAAGATTAAAAATTTATTTGAATAAAAATTAAAAACTAATTTAAATGTAAATTAAAATTTAAAGATTTATTTGATTGTAATGATAAAATTTATTTAAATAAAACGATAAAACTTTTTTTTTTTTGTTATTTTAACCTATTTTCTTTTGGGAGGTTAGTCTCTGATTGGAGAAGGCAAGAAAAGTCCCCTAACCAGGCCACGAGGCCATGACCAACCTACCACACGCTCTAGTGGTCGACAATTTCTCACCAAACTCCCACCACACCACTACGCACTAGCCTCAAAGCTTGCCCATGAACTGAATCAAAGGCCTTTCAGTTTCTTCTCCCCTCCTCCAATTCCTATTGATCCTCTATCTTCGTGTGCTTTATTCGTGCTTTACTTACTGCTCATTAAAAAGTGGGTCCGCCATTGCTTTGTGATGAACATGATTTGCCTTTCAACTAGCTTATTCATATTGCACTATGATTTGATTAAAGCCACTAATGTCAGGCTTTGCCCTTTTTCATTTTTTTCTCTCTTGAAATTATTTACATCTCAATTCGAATGCACCTTTTCCTAACAAGACAAAAGAGAGCATCACAATTGCATCCTCCAAATAACCTTCTCTTACCAAAATATAATCGTGCATAAGGATAAATTAAATGTGTATTGGTATTATATTTATTTTATATTAAATATATGTAAAATATAAAAATAATATTATAATTTATATTGATATATTAAATATTTTTATTTTTATAAAATTTTAAATTGTATAATTTTATATATTTTTTATTATTTTCATATCATATTTTTAAATTTTATTTAAAATGATCAAATTTAAGATAAATTATAGATAATAAAAAATAGGTGAAGGAGTAGATCAACATTAAAGATCAAGTGAAGGAATAAATGTTTTGAGTAAACTAATCTCTAATTTAATTAGCTTACGCAGGAGGTGGGAAGGATTATCACTTTGCTAGGGTATCTATAATTAAAAATTGTAACAGATTGAGTCGAGATAAATTTTTATTTGTTATAAATTTAATTTAATTTTATATTTATAAAATTAAAATTTGATTTGATTTAAAATTTTTTTTTATTTTTTCATAATCAAACTCAATATGATTTAATATTATATAAATTATATACGATCTGATTTAATTTAAAATTAATAAAATATTATTTTTATATATAAAATATTATTTTTAATATAAATATAAAAATAAATAAATAAATTATATATATCAAATCAAATTAAGTTAAATTTATCTAAAATTTAATTTAATTTTATTTTTCGTAATTATTTGATCCTACTTAAAACTTAATTTTTTAAAAAAAAATTAATTCTATTAAGATAAGATAAAATTGAAATCCGTCGGCTTGAACTATCAACCCTACCCATGATAAAGAAATAGAGAGAGACTGTTGTGGTGTGCTCTAAATATTAAAAAAAGACAGAGAGAAACATCATTTTCAACAGTGATAGTATTTAATTTAATGCAGATCCTGGAAAGTGACTTTCTTGACTTTCATTTCATTTTGATTAAATTGATATTTTGGATTAAAATAAACTCAAGGATAGCATCTCAGCCGTATAATTGGAGATTTCCCATTGCAATTTTTTTTTTTTTTTAAGTAATGCTCCTCCGTCCTACTTTGCATGTTTTTTAGTGATTTTTTTATCAAATTAATTCAATTTTGACCATCATTTTTATTAAAATTATAAAATTAAAAAACTTTTAAAAATTAGATTTCTAAATTTTGAATTTTAAAATTTTCAAAACATATTTATAAAAATTTTTAATTTAATATAACTTTTTAAAAAAATAATGATCAAAATTAAATTTGTTTGATAAAAAAATGAATAGAGGACATAACAAATGAGAGCAGAAGGAGTATTTAAAACTAAATATTACATTTATATAATCAATTAAATAGTTAATTATTATATTATAATTAAGTTATAATTATTAAATAATTAATTAATAAATTATAATTTAATTAAATAATTAAAACCGACTTTAAATTTAGAATTTTAGGATTCAAATGACTTATTAAATCTTCGGAGATTATTTAAGTATAAAATTAAAATAGAAGTTAATTTTATATTATAACAATCTATTATTTTTATGAAATAGTCAATTATCATATCATAATTATTTTGTATGTAATTAAACATATATTTTTATTATTATAAATATTTAATTTTGTTGTTACAATAATGAAATATTATTATTATTTTAATCTTATCAAAATAATTTTACAATTAAACCTTTAATCAATTACTACTAAATAAATTTTTAAAAAAAAAAAAAAAAAAAAAAAACTCTATTCTTGTATCTGGTTAATGGGATGGTAGGCTGGCTTGGGGGACATATGGCTGACCAAAATGAGTTGGCTCCTGTCCAGGCTTTCAGCATTTGTGAGGACACTTTGGTTATTTCACATGGCATTTCCCCCCAGGAATTGAAAGGCGGAACACCGCCACCACTTATTCTCTCGTATGTTTCTGCGTTTTTTCTTTTTTAAATCTAGTATTAAATATTTAATTTAAAATTAATTAATAATAAATAAAAATTTTAAATTTAAATAAAAAATTATAAAAAATTAAATATTTATTATATGTGAAATAATTATTATGGCAAAAATAAAAAAAATTATCAGGCCAAATATTCGAAAAAATAAAAAAAAATTTATACTTTAATATTATATTAAATATTTAATTTAAAATTAATTAATAATAAATAAATTATTTAATTTAAATATAAAATTAAAAAATTAAATATTTATTAAATATAAAATAATACCAGTTCCAAGCCAAGGACGAGGCAGAGGAACTATTGAATGTAACCCACTCACACCCCTTCTACTCTAAAAGCTTGCTGAGCATGTGGGTCTACTGGACATCAAATCATGATTCGATCACTGTATTTCTTTAAAAAAAATTATACTAATTTTGTTCCAATGTTATTTTATCCAACATTTAAATACATTTATTTCTCACAAATAAAATAAATATATAATAAATAACATAATTTATGAAATTAAAAAATTACAGTACATAAAAACGAATTCTTTTAACACAATTCGCCAATGGCTGTTGTGGACCCAAATATTAGTGGGTCTTGCAAAAAAAAAAATCAAAAATTTTTTTCTTCTGATATGAGTAATATGTACAGGAAGATCTCCTTTTTCATAACTATATTTTTGTTTAGATTTATTTTATCCTTTATTTGTTGTACTTCCAACGAATGGTAGCTGCAATCTTTCTGGTCTCCAACCGAAGGAAAGTGAGTGACAAAAGAAAAAGACAAAAAAAAAAAAAAATTTCCCCTTTACCAAACAAAAGAACCGTTACAAAAAGCATAGAAAGTCGGAACTCAGCCACTTTTTTCCCTTGTGGATCCCCCCTTCAAACTTTGATCTCCCCCACTGCCTTCTTCAAAACCTCAGATAAGCTTTTCTTCAAAATTTCAAAACTCAAAATCCAACTTTCTCTCCTTCTTTCTCTATCAGTCTCTCTCATAAGAGTGTGTTTATTAAGGCATTTTGGCTTTATTGTAAAAGGCTACAATGTGGGTTTGATTGCCTTAGAGGTAAAGATCTTTGGTTAACTGTTGGTGGGTAATTGGTAGTTTCTCATTTTATTGGTTTTTTTAATTATTTTCTTTTTTAAAAATTGATTTTTTTTTTTTTGGAATAGGATCAGCTAGTAACTTTATTTTTTTTACAGTGAAAAGATCCCTTTTTTTTTCCTAATTTGTTGGTGTAAATTCTAGGCTGTACCAGCTTGTTAAGAGATACCCATATCCAAAATATAGTGAATGATTGTTTGTTTCTGATATTTTGTTTGCTTGTATTAAATTTATATAATTGAAGTTTTGTTGCTTGGTGAGGTAGGAATGGTCTCTTAGCTGAATAGGACTAGTGTGATTATTGATAAGGAGGGAACTGTTCTGCCTCTTTTGTGTGTGTTTCTCCCTTTTATCTTTTTTTTTTCTCCAAAACTTTTTGTTGTTGTGTTTTTGAGTTTGGGAAGCAAAGAGAGAGAAGTCCCTATTTGGTTATTTTGGAGATCTGGGACTTGTTTAATCTGTTATGCCCAATGAGGACTTTCTTTCCCTCTGATTCATGTAAAGAATCACAGCTCAATGCAATCAATCCTCAGTCTTGGCTCCAAGTTGAAAGAGGGAAGCTTACCAAATTCTCTTCTTCCCACACCACCTCTTCATCCATGTAAGTTTTTCCTTTCATTTTCTGTGTTTCTGCTCTTTTTTTGTTTTTTTTTTAAATTGAGATTGTTTTGGTATAATTGTTGTAGAGAATCATTTGTCAAGGTTCCTGAGCCACCAATATTGCCATTCTTTAAACCTATTGATTATGTAGAGGTTTTAGCCCAAATTCATGAAGAACTAGAGTCATGTTCTCTGCAAGAGAGGTCGAATCTTTATTTATTACAATTTCAGATCTTTAGGGGCCTTGGGGAAACCAAATTGATGCGGAGAAGCCTTCGTTCTGCTTGGCAGAAGGCTGGCACTGTCCATGAGAGGATTGTATTTGGGGCATGGTTAAAGTATGAGAAGCAAGGGGAAGAACTTATTGCTGACTTGCTTGCAAATTGCAATAAATGTGCACAAGAGTTTGGGCCAATAGATGTTGTTTCTCAGCTTCCAATTGAGGTGAATGGCAGTTCCCAGGAGACTTTTATGATGAATGGGGACAAGAGCCTCAAGAACGTGAACTTTAAGATTGGAGATGAGAAAATAGTTTGTGATAGGCAGAAAATTGCTTCTCTTTCAGCCCCATTTCATGCCATGCTTAATGGGTACTTCACTGAATCACTATGTGAGGACATAGATTTATCTGAAAATAATATCTCCCCATTGGGTATGAGGACAATCAGTGACTTTAGCATGACAGGCAGTTTGAGTGAAGTCCCTCCTGATCTTTTGTTGGAAATATTAGTTTTTGCAAACAAGTTTTGTTGTGAAAGACTCAAAGATGCTTGTGATAGGAAACTTGCATCTTTGGTTTGTACCAAAGATGATGCTGTGGAGATCATCGAATATGCCATTGATGAGAATTCCCCTGTTCTTGCTGCATCATGCTTGCAGGTTTTTCTACATGCACTGCCTGATTGTTTGAATGATGAACGGGTGGTGGAAATATTTAGCCATGCCAATAAGCAACAGAAATCAGTCATACTTGGACAGGCCTCATTTTCACTGTATTGTTTATTAAGTGAAGTAGCTATGAACCTTGATCCTCGATCTGATAAAAATGTTTGTTTCCTAGAACAATTAATTGAATCTGCTGAAACTGACAGGCAGAGAATGTTAGCTTTTCATCAGTTGGGATGTGTAAGGTTTCTGAGGAAAGAGTATGATGAGGCTAAAAGCCTTTTTGAGGCAGCTGTAAGTTTAGGTCATGTTTACTCTATTTCAGGTTTGGCTAGACTGGGTTACATTAAGGGTCATAAACTTTGGTCTTATGAGAAGCTCAGCTCTGTCATCTCGACTGTTAACCCACTGGGATGGATGTATCAGGAAAGGTCATTGTACTGTGAAGGTGATAAGAGGTGGGAAGACCTTGAGAAAGCAACTGAACTGGACCCAACTCTTACCTACCCCTACATGTATCGGGCTGCTTCCCTAATGATGAAACAGAATGTTCAAGCTGCTCTGGCTGAGATCAACCGGGTACTTGGGTTTAAACTTGCATTAGAATGCTTGGAACTCCGATTTTGTCTTTATTTGGCCATTGAGGATTACAAAGCAGCAATTTGTGATGTTCAGGCAATTCTAACACTTTCACCTGATTACAGAATGTTTGAGGGACGGGTGGCAGCATCCCTGCTCCGTACACTTGTACGTGAGCATGTTGACAATTGGACAACCGCAGATTGTTGGATGCAGTTGTATAATAGGTGGTCTTCTGTTGACGATATTGGATCTCTCTCTGTAATCTACCAGATGCTTGAATCTGGTGGGCCAAATGGAGTTTTATATTTCAGACAATCATTACTTCTCCTCAGGTATGGCAGACTTACAAACTATTATGGGCCTTGGACATAAGTTTTTTTAATTTTAAATGGGTCAACCTGCAGCTTTTTTCTCTTTTAAGCATTTGAAACCAAGCCTTATGGTTTTTAATTCACTTAAATGTGTGTAATAAGTGCTTATCCTATCTATGTCTGAACCCTGTAGTCTTTACTCCATGCTAACTGATTTCAGAAGAGATGCATTGACATAAGGGTCATTGGCCGAATGAAAAAAAAGACATAAGGGTCTGGCTCTCGTCTCTCTTTTACAGCATATATTATCATCCCTCATCTACCCCTCAACCATGTATGCTTTTCCTCCTTTTCTCAATCATCCATTGTTTTCTCTCCATTGCGAAGTCACCACTCTCCACCCCCACCATCCTCTTTTGCTTTGTTTTCACCATCTATCCCCAAAATTAAGTTTGGGTTGCTGTCAGATCATGCTTATGTGACTTGTAAGAATTATGTGGGTTGACTTGATCAGGTTGAATTGTCCTGATGCGGCCATGCGAAGTTTAGAATTAGCTTGTCAACATGCATCCAGTGAACATGAGCGCCTGGTTTATGAGGGATGGATCTTATATGATACTGGTCACTGTGAAGAAGGGCTTCAAAAAGCAGAAGAGTCTATTAAAATTAAAAGATCCTTCGAGGCCTTCTTCCTTAAAGCTTATGCATTGGCTGACTCTAGTCTCGATCTATCATGTTCTTCAACAGTTATTTCACTGCTTGAAAATGCCTTGAAATGCCCTTCAGATAATCTGCGAAAAGGTCAGGTGAGGTGTCCATTGCCCTACCTTGTTCGTTCAAAATCTTCTCTATGTCACTACAGTTTCTTCCAGAGTGTGCGGCTATACTTTCATAAGTTCATAAATATTTTTCCATGAAGCAAAAAAAATCTTTGTTTGTGCCCTATCATGTAGTTGCATCACTACCAAAAAACATATAGTTGTTGCTATGAACTGCTGTGATTTGTAAATGGTCAATTGTCCTCCGTACTTGGGCTGTTTGAATTTCATTCATGCAAAAACACATCAGCGATGTCTAATCCTGGTTTTGAGCTCCATTTTGCAGGCTCTTAACAATCTTGGAAGTGTGTTTGTTGATTGCGGGGAATTGGACTCAGCAGCTGATTGCTACATTAATGCCCTTAAAATCCAACACACGAGAGCCCATCAAGGCCTTGCGCGTGTCCATTTTCTCAGAAACGATAAGGCTGCAGCTTATGAGGAAATGACTAAACTGATTGAAAAGGCAAAAAATAATGCATCTGCTTACGAGAAGAGGTCTGAGTACTGTGACCGTGATCTCATAAAGGCTGATCTGGATATGGTCACTCGATTGGATCCACTCCGGGTCTATCCTTACCGATATCGAGCTGCAGGTTAGGGTTTTTTTTTTTATCGTTAATATACTGCAGCAAATCTTCATTTAGCTGATCCTAAAAATCTATGTTGCATGTGTTGAACAGTGTTAATGGATAGCTACAAGGAGAAGGAAGCCATTGACGAACTATCTAGGGCTATTGCATTTAAACCAGATCTTCACCTTCTACACCTACGGGCTGCCTTCCATGAGCATGTTGGTGATGTGTTGGGTGCCCTTCGAGATTGTCGAGCTGCTCTCTCTGTAGACCCAAACCATCAAGAAATGTTGGAACTACACAGCCGTGTAAACTGCCATGAGCCATAAATCTATTTTTTGTAGCTTTTTCCTTGGCTAAAAATTAAAAAAAAAAACGAAATCACAACTTATAAAAAAAAAAAAAAAAAAGAGAAGGGTGGGGGAGAAATTTTGAATTGCGTTATTACCATGTATACTAGCAAATGTGTGCAACGTAGAACCCATGTTCTAATATATCCTGTAAGAATTTTGATAATGAAAAATTTTCAATGCCTACTTACTCTTGTAATCAGTCAATATAGCTAAGAACAAACAAAATTCACGAGTCCAAATATTTTCCATACAGCTAAGAACAAACAAAATGTAGACGATATCTTCCATCAGGACAAAGAAACAAACAAACAAATATACATGTAGCTAGATGTTTTCATGAGAAACAAAAGTGACGAGCATTACTACATCATAAAGCGTGTTGATACCACACTTTCCCTCGAGGCTAAAGTGAAGAAGCTTTTATCAAAAGCTGAAACTCAAGACCCCCAACCCGCGTGTGGGCGTGATGTGGACGGCACATAGCGGAGTCACCAGTCTCTAGAAAGAGCCGTGCCTTGGGCTACATACACAAAGGGTTAAACCAATTAAACTCAATAATGTCATGGCATTTTCCAAAAGTTATGGCGTTAGAGAGGATAGTGTCAAAATATATAGTATTAAAAAGCAATCTGCCTTTCTGAGTAGCCGTAAAATAATACTATCCTATAGCACCTAAAGTTGAATATTCGATGTCTGCTAGCCACCTATTATCATATGACCTTCAATTTTTTTATTTGAAAAATACAATTATCAAAGCCATTAACAAAAAATTACCCCTTTTTACAACAATTATACCTGACTCTTAAAAACTATAAAAAAAGGCAAAACATACACAAAACATGCCTTCCCTGCTTCTCTGATCATAACCATCGACAATATGTGCAAACTATGGACAATTGGAGAACAATTTGGATAACTGGTGTTAGTAAATATATATTTTATGATGAGGAATCTCTTAAGAGCAAACCTTAAGTAATTGCACATGAGGTTAAAGACAGCCACCGACTTAGTTCAAAATGCCTATATAGAAGAGCATACCCTAAACATGATAAGTCTACACCTCATACTAAGATAACCCCTCTACTACTAGGCTAAATCTGAGAGATCACCGGTATCTCACAACAATAATTTACCCAAGGATATTTTTTCACAAGATAATCAGCATACCTTGCAGTCATCACTTTAGCATGACATTGGATCACCTTGATTTAATGACACTGGTACTTGGCATTCTGTATTGCAAGGAACCTGGCAACTAAAAATTTCAGGATGAATTCACCTTCCATCCATTCTCAATGTATTTCATCACTGTTATCTTCATAAAATCAACTTTCAACTTTCTTGGCCTTCCTGTTTTAAGTAACAACCAGGTCAATCTGAAGTAAACATAAATAACTGCATTTCTTGACGATAGTGACAAATATACTTTCCAAGAACAGTCTTTAAGTTTGAGAGAAATGATTGACCTTGTCTACTTCTATTAACTTTTGTGAGGTTGGAAATAAGGATGCCTCAAAGCATCATCAACACTTAATCGATCATCCTACAAAACACAAAATGCATTTCAAGCCCAAAAACATCATACATACAATCAATTGCATACAAAAATCATTTGTCCATAAACTAGTAGTTAGTGAAAAACAAGTAAAAGGATATATTGCTCTAGAACTTGCCATTTTATAAGAAGATGCATTGACACACTCATTTGTCATCTAGACCATTAAACACCCTACCAGTTCAAGGAAGATATATAAAAGCATTTGATGCTCAGAAACTATCCTCACTATAGAAAGACCTTATTTCTCTAAAGAAGGTTGAAATCACCACTCAACTAGTACCTTTAATGGCTAAAAATAATCTTAAGCTACCGTATATAATTTAAAATGATTGCATAAGAATGTCAAAAAAGAAATTATATGCATTTACACAAATTATTGTTTTCGAGAATATTTTTTTATAAATTTTAAGAATTACTTTTATCATGTTTTTTCTTTAACAAAAGAATTGAAACTTCATGCTATTCTCAAGCCAACAAACAAAAATAGCATACTAAAAACTATTTCTTTTGCTCTTAACTGATTCAAAGAACATTGAAAATTTTATGTAGGGATTTTCTCTTTAAAAGCCACTTGAACCTACGGATTCTACTAAGAAAAAACAGATGATCTACAGTTTACCATGAAGTTTTTGCTAAACAGCAAGAGAAAAACACATTCACAAAGTCCCACTAAAAGCGTACCTGAATGGAAGCATTGTCATTGCACAAGAGAGGTTACAAATTAAACTTTATTCATTTTATATTAATGTACTCTCTCATTAAATTTTAAAAAGCAAATGCATCAATAATTTTCCACTGAACTTGTAAATCTGGACACTTACAGGGTCCCAGAGTAACAGGTCGCGCACTAACCGCAAAACCCAAACATTTTGAAATCTGCAGATAATTTTGAAACAAAAATATAACAAGTGGGAGGTAATACTAAGGAACATAACAAAATCAGATAATCATATATTACAGAAATCAAGAACCTACCCAAGCTTAATAGGGTCTCTGCTCCTTACTTGACGTGAGAAAAACTCCTCAGAGCATTTCCAGGAGGCAGGTGACATGCCACCCTATACCACATGATGTGGTTAAATACTAAACACAGGAAATCAATTTCACAATTAAGGATAACAAACAAAGGCATCCACAAAGCACCATCCTTTCTAACATGCGTTGTCATCTCATCTATTGACTTAAAATTTGATCACCTTTGTTAACTGTCTTCAGAAGAAATAAAAGGGTGGTATACCAACTGAAGTAGCATTGCGCATGTAAAAAAGTGAAACATAATTCAGGATGATTCATTACTCAACAATTTTTTTGTTCAGTACACAATCTGAGCCACTATTAGATGGTATAAAATATTCGATATTTGGATTAATTTTCTGCAGAGTGACAGACTAACTTATAATGCATTACAAACTTACCTAGTAATCTGGCGAACTATCGCTTTAATGCTTTTTATTATTCTATCACATGAAACCATTTTGATCCTAAATACATGCATCACACATTCATATTTACCAGCTTACACATATCAACAATATCTAATTCTATTATCGCAATTCAATTCATGACCTATAGTGAAAACATCAAACCAGACCAAGAGGGATTCTACCAAGAAATGGTTTAATTGCTGGTAAGATGACAAAAAGGAAATATAATAAATTTTAGGATGAAAGAACAGATGATTTGAGTGAATGAAGGCTTGAATTTATAATGTTAAGTACATGGTATATATTCAAGCGTTGGTGTTGGTGATAAGCTGTACCTTATCATCTTTACAGGATTAAATCCTAATCTAAGATAACTACTAGCTTAACATCTTTACAGAATTAAACCTTAATATGAGATTAAAATAACTTATCTAATTATTCTAAGATTACAACTAATTTATCTAATAAAAAAATTATGTAGATAAGTCTTAGTCTTCTAAGTCTTGATAAAGAGATGACTAGTCACGAAATTCCACACTCCCCATCAAGCTGGGGCATAGATGTCAATCATCCCCAGCTTGCTGATCAAGACTACAAAAGTTTTTCTTGGAAGAGCCTGTGTAAGAATATCTGCAGTTTGAAGTCCTGTTGGAGTATAAATCATATTAGTATCCCTTCTTCGATCTTCTCTCTAATGAAGTGATGGTCATTCTTTGAAAAATTTAATGTTAGTCAAAGTTTACAGCTTTCAGTGTCTTTAAATTTTGAAGAAGATTTTTTTACAGCATTGGGTGTCACATCATCAGTTAGTCAAATTTTATTGCTGACTCATCATGCCATGTGGCAATTTTGCTGGCAGGCAGTACATGCAGCGTCCTACATGGTACTCTTAAGGGCTCCATCCTCTTTCCAGTTAAAATGTTGTCAAATTGACCAAAAATAAAAGAATAAGAGGCAAATTGCCCCAAATAGGAGATGAAGGGCCACAATGACACTTTTGCATAGTTTGAGGGCCAAAAGTGTTATGCCAACTTCAAATAACGGAGGGAATGGGAATTGAAGACAAAAAATAAATAAATTTAATACTCTGCAATATTACTAACATGTTCTTGCAATAGTATAAATATGGAACATATTTAGCAACGAGGATTGAAACTTACTTGGTTCGTTTCACGATGATGTTTGGAGGAACTCCCAGTGACTAGGATGCACAATTCCATGAATGATCTAAGCCTGAAACCACGACTCCAGGAATTATAAGGATACTAGACACCATTTCTTCCAAGTAGAACATACTCTCTTGCTTGATGTATTCACTCACAAACATAAAAATATAGATTGATATCTTTCAGCATAAAACTTCTTGGCTGTTTCAAATAAACAATTTAGTTACATAATTAGAGCCTCGGCTACACAAGTTTGCAGAAAGCCAGAAACACAGGAGAATAGCTCATTCTACCCTCTCTCCAACCTCCAGAGAGAACTCTAAATTAACTGGTCAACAGAAAACCATTAAAGTAGTATAAAAAGTAAAGGACAAGAAAAATGCAACAACAAAGAGCAGAATGTTTTAGACAGTATGGTGTAGGCAGCCTCAGGAAACTGAAATTTCTTCAATCTTTTTGTTTGTTTCTTTCAAAAGTTCCAGCTCAAAACTTGTCTATACATCATCACATCAAACCCATATCTTCAGAATTCCTCTAAGGCACCAACATAGCCAGTATTAAACTCCCAAAGCCCAAGAGTTTGCCACCTTTCATGGGTCTATAGCCCTCACTTCATCACACACACAGCTACAACTAAGCTTTAACCATCCAATTGGAGCTTAAACAGGAGAGAAGCTTAAATCACAGCATAATTTCATAAACCTTTTTAAATAAACTAATTTCTTACACTAATATTACATTGTGGCCCATATAACAAGCTTATGTCCAAAATAACTTGGCCATTATATTTCTTTTTCTTTTTACTGGACAAATATAATTACAGAAAAAGATAAAAGGACTAAAAACTGAAAATTGATTCTTCTTAACGTCATTCAACAAAGAAAAAAAGGGGATACAGAAATTAGAAAATAGTTAATATCCCTTCAAATTCATCCTACAGAAGAGATGCAAATAAGCCAACATGACATTCATGATTGTACGCATTAAAGACAAGGCTAGTAAATTAATTGGCTTATCCATGTATCGTAAAGAGAGAAAAGCTCTCACAATAAATTTACAACATGTGAAAGGAAGCTTGTAAGAGATGCAGAATATTAAAGGATGGTCATTTCTAATCATTTTCTAAGGGAAGAAATGGAGTTGAAACTTACTTATAAGCAAGCTCCTTCAAGCCTTCATTCCAACCCTGAAGATGATGATCTAGAAAAGTACGCGTTACAGCACTTATCTGAAATACATTTGGTGACCCCAAAATCATCTCTAAGATCACAACACCCACGCTCCACATATCATATCTGTCAAAATCATTTCCAAAAGCACTCTACTAGTCCAATAAACAAAAGTTACAGAACATTGATCAAGAATTTTGAGAATGATTTCAGTGTGGAAGAAGAACTTTGGATATAACAAATAAGGAAAAGGGATCTTGACGTACTTCAAAGTAGTGCTTGTTGGCCCCTGATACCAACTAGCATTAAGAAGAGCTTCAGGTGGGCTATAATCATGAGTTTGCTCGGATCTGTAAAGACAAGTAGATATCTGTCAAAAGTTTTCCCTAGTGAACCAAATCATGGATAAGGAAAAACAAAAAACATCTTAAACAGAAACACCACCTAGATGGTCCAGCTGATCCATATAAATGCTTCATTGTGAACCCATCTATTGCACTTCCAAAGTCAATGATGTGCCTAATAATTGGTGAATAAAAAGCATTAATAAATTTAGTAACTCGATGGTTTTTAAAGCACAAGAACTAACCACACACTACACAATGCAACATAAACTTTGCGACAACTGCAAATGCTAACCAAGTTATAAAACCATTTTTTCCTATTAACTTGTATCCTGAAGTCCTAAATTGCTAAATTTGAAATTGCATAACAAAGAGCAATGAATTAGGATCTTCATTGGAAGCATTGTCTTTTGAGAATCATATGCTATTATATGTTGGAAAAAGTGTGCTTATACTGCTCAAAAGATAGGTGCATGCAAGCCAAAAGACATTCGCACACAAACAAAGGAATCAAACCTGGCTTATAAGTTTCATTCGTTGATTGACATGCAAAGCACTAGAACTTGAGTGGGGAACATATCTCAGGGAAGAGAGCACTTGGGAACATAAGGACAGTAACACAAAATTTGAAAGACATGTACAGTGCAACTGAAAATTGCAGCATAATGCACATTAACAACAATATGAAAGCAATAAGTTATTGCTCAATACATTTTGAGCACGCAAGGTCAGGCAGAAGGTCTCGTGAAGATAAAAGTCTTCATGAAATAAAAGAAATCGGGAAAGCGCTTTCGTCTTGTTCTAATATAGATCAACCACTTACTACATGCATCAAACACACCGTAAGCCTAAAAAGTGACACCTTGGAGAACTACAAAGATATGCTTCAACCATTCATACACAATACAATGAGTAACAGAGTAAAACATGCATACCAACTTCAAAAAGAGAACCAAATTAAACATTTAAAACAGTGTTAATAAGATATGAAGAACAATACATTTTAGTGGTAAAATTCTTATCTCCACTTGGAATTCCTCTCAAGCATCTTCCAGTCTTCTGGTCCTCAAAGCATATAACCATGTTCTCTTCCAATAAGAAATATGAAAATATACCAATTAGCACAAATTCATAGAATAATTTTCTAAAAATAGATAGGAAAGCTAAAGAAACAAACGGATCATTATATATCATTTTATTCCAATGATCAGCAGATATGGATATAGAATGTTTGACGAGGCAATTCCTAAAAGTTTTGTGACAGCATTTTAACTATGAGCCCAGAATTAATATGCTTCCAAAGAGAAACAAATAGTGGAAAGTATTAAGCACATGATGCCATATGCTAGTTTATTAACATAAAATCATAGCATCCACAAAAGCTGATAAGATATTTAGGTTAATTAAGCAAAATTCTTTTACTTATTGTTGATACAACCTTTCAAGAAGGATGGACTCATCGTGCTTCCAATATGCCAATTATCAAGTTGATGAATCCAACAAATCATAGTTGAATTGATACAAAACAGTAACAGAAAAGAACAATTAAGTAAAATTATATAGTACTCCTATATGTTATCAAATCCCTACCACCCCTAATCTGCCAGGCTGGCAGTCTATTTATCTAGAGCAATGACATTCACATGCACAGCTCTCATTCCAACCCCCTTAACAGTCAGCACACATCATAGAACCATACTCCTAACCCTACAGCAAAAGCATAAATAATAATGGTCGACCTAACATGATGGACTATTAAAAACAATGCACCAAATGTAAGGTAGAACTTTTACTTATGTAGCATGTGTCAACAGGAAATCCAAGAGCTGAATGTATAACAAGGATTACCCAAATATGATCATCTAAGCCAATGGGACCAAACAATGAAGCTTGGACCTAGTGAAGGCAGTCAATATATATCTTCACAAATATCCCAAGTTTTTATTTTTAAAAATATAATACAAGTTAAATAACATTGTAAACAAGGCGTTGCCATCCTCACCAGGTTTGATATCCCTGTGGGTAATATTGCGATCATGACAGGACTTCAGTGCTACCAACTGAGCAAATGAAAAGAGAAAGCATACATCAAGACAGCAGTTAAAACAAGATCACAAAAGTAAATATAATATAGTGTAGGGAGGACACATTTGGTACATGAGAAACTTCTAGAAGGAAACAAATATAAGCCACGATTTGTTACCAAGTTGAGATTTGAAACAAGTTTTATTAAAACTTGAATTACAAGTACTGTTTATAAACAACAGTGTTTAAAATGAGTTGAAGATTTCTAGTATCATATAACTTCAAATTTGTGACAAATAAAGGAGAGAAAGAAACTTACCATCCATTTGTTTAAAGAAAAGAAAAAGAAACAGAAAGATGAGAGCTAGAAAAGAATAAAAAATAGGGAAAAGAATGGAATAAATCTTTTGAAAATGTAAGTGAAAAGAAGGGAGGTTAAAATGAGTATTCCTTTATCCCTTAACATTAATTCATTTTTAGGAAATTTTTTGGGAGGATTTTGAATGAATGATAACACTTTTATGCAGGTGGATTATCAACAAAATCATGACAGCAACTTAAATCTGAAATCTGTAAGATGTACCAACTGTCGAATAAGATTGCGCATTTCCTCTTGTCCTTCTTCTGTTGTCTTCAACCAATGCCACCATTTTGATGGACGCAATATCTGAACTTGTTTTACTTCCTCAACCTTTTCTTCAGTTGCATTACGTTCTGCTTCTTCCACAGTATACATAAGCTTTGATAGTGACATGCCCTCATAATGAAATACAAGCCATATTTCATTAGATCGTGATTCAAATGACTCTACATATCTTGCAATATGGTTCAAACCTTCTTCAGAGGCAGTTCTGTGCCATCCAAACTTGTTCAGATTTATATTTTCAGAACTCAAAGTGATTCCTAGTTCTAAATTTATATCTAATGTGTCATCGAAACCAGATTGTGATGCCTCCAAGAAAGGTTCCGATACTTCAGCCGATGGAAAACTTCCAAGATTTCTAGAGGCATTTAAGAAGACTTCACCAAAGTACTTCTCCCGTAGACCACTTAAGTAAACAGAAGCCCCTCTCTCCACCTGTGATAGGGAAGATGATGGCATAAGATGCATCCAGACCAAACAGTCATAAACAAGATAGAAACCACTCATTAAGCGAAGATAATGGCATTGCATAAGATGAGTTCAACATAGAAACCTTCAGAATGGCTTACCATTATGCGTTTCAGAATAAACAAGTTGCCATCAGGAGAACCAACATGACTATCATGACTAGATGTGTTACTACATGAACTACTGTTATAGGTGTCAAAGTGACTATCATCAAAATTGGTATTCTTGTTTTCTTCACTCCAGCTTGAAGCATTACTGCCTTGATGGCAATTCCAACTAAACGACAACCAAACCTCACCATAAGAACCACGACCAAATCTTTTCTTTAGTATATACCTGATAAAAGAAAAGTATAAGTGTCATAATGGTGAAATGACAATAAAGAACCACCACTTTTCTGTTTTTTTTAAACCCTTTGTTTTCTTATTGGAGAAAACACAATCGTTTTAAACATACAAAATTACACATAAGTTAAAACTTTATCTCTATTGTTTGGATTAAAGAGAACGAACTATGATTTCTAGGGGATTTGAGGTAAAAATCAAAAGGTCCTTCGAGCAATATGCCAAAAAGTGATATTCTAATTTCCTCCACTTCTGTACTCCAAGAAATTTTAAGGAACATTTGGTATACATTGTCCTCACAGATGAAGAGTCTAGTGATCCTGTCAATGGTGATTGTCTATCACCTTGTTAGGAACAAAATAGTAGAATCAAAATATTATCCAAAAAAAAAAAAATAGTCCATGTCTTTTTTTAATGATAGAAGTGTCTCTAATTTGATGTTAACCCATATCACATGTGAATAAAAATAAATAAATAACGATATATATGCTCGTATATATGAATATAAACATATAAATATCTATTTATTTTATTTTACATATATTTACATGAATTAGGGGCAATTTTGTCCAAAGATCACTGCCGAGGAGGTGATCCAACATTATTAAGATTTTGGGGCATGATTGATGCATTTAAACTCTATGATGGAGGATCAATGCCATGGAAGATCACCAAGCTAATGCAAAAGGGTGAGGAAAGCATTAAGGAAAGAAAAGAATAAACCTCGAGTCTGGCATTGGATACTCCTCTGTCCCATAACTTGAACTAGTATCATGGAAGGGTATGGATTCAAGCAAACCAAGGAAACTAGCGAAGCCCTCTGGGTTTACACATTGATCTTTAGCTCCATCAACAGTCATCCCAAAGTTTAAGCAAAAACTCCAATCATTGTACACATTTAAAGGTCCACCTAACAGATTGTTTAAAGAAAATATATTGCAATATTGCACCATTAATGTCAGGAACTTTAAGGAAGTCAATATGCTTCAGTTCCTACCAAAATGAATCAAACAGGAAAATCATAATAGATCAAAGTACAAACCATGCAACCTGCCAGCTAAAAAGAAGAGAGAGAACTTTACATACCACAGGGTTGTTCAAAGGCATTAGGTAAAGCCTGGGGTAAGTCATGCACATAATCTTCCTGATCTGCGTTTTGAGTTTGAAAACTTTGAATTGTATCATTCACATCATCATCAAGCTTCTCAGATAAATAAAAACAGCCATAACTGCCATGTTTTCCTTGAACCTGTGTGGCAAAAGACAAACAAAATCATACAAGCAAAAATTTCCCACACTAGGGTGCAAGCTCCTACAATAGTGTTTCTATTATCTCAATCACCTTCAATGACTAGAAAGTCAAATTTCCTTAGTGCCACACAGGGATAATACAACTTAAAGTCTAACAGGATAATAATGACAACTGAATGAGAATTTGTTTAAGCTCCAAACAACTTGTAGAAGACTAATATTGGAACAAAGCAAAGGAACATTACAGTCAGCGCCATAATAATTAGACTTTGACTGGGAAAACAGGGAGACCCTAACCTATAATTGGGCACAATTTGAGATTCTCATAAAATAAAAATGTTCTTCCTTTCAAACCCAACAAGAAAATAAGAGCAGGAATTCACTCAGAAGAGTGGGAAAGAAGCACCACAAAAATGAGAATGCATGCTTAGATCAAAGTAGAGTTTCCCAAGTTGCTATATAGTTTTCTTTTCTTCTCAGATAATATATTTCCTTTAAAATGGAACAGCCCCAGTTCATGCCACCATGGAGAGTGAATTCAAATTTCAGAGCCCATAGACACCAAAAAAAAAAGAGAAATGCCTTGCAATTTCCCAACTCCATATTTAACAGTAGATAAGGATCTTCACATCTTTTCACTTTTAAAATGCCATAAAACTGGAGGGGGTATAAAGTAGAACTGAATCTTTTAAACTGATAATATCTCTAAAACTTAAACACTCCCTAGATATCTCTCTGAGAACGGGAACCAAAAAAAACAAGAAATTTATCTCCATATGAAACACATTAGTTTCTCAGCCTTACCAATAACCTGTTAAACTTGGTTGTGATTGGATGAGTATGTTCCAACAGCAGTAGGTCAGGACTAATACCATTACCTGGTCATGATGGCAAAAGGAAACAAGCCTATTAATTAGAAAATAATTATTCATCACAGCAGCAAACATCTTAAATAAATAAATAGAAATAACTAAGATGTATCATCAAACTACAGTTCAAACCAAAAAGTTAAAGCTGTCAAACAATATAATATAGCATATAAACAAGATTTTCAAGAGAACAGAAAAGATACACGACAAATGCACTTAAATAGGAGCATGCCCATGTTACACTGATGCAATGAGAGCTTACCTAAAGAAGACTCAGAACATCAATAAGCATGCACCTTGAGAAGGATGTAGTAAACAACAAATGCAAGGAAAGATGATAGTGTTGCAATGGAATTCTCTCCACCAATCAAGATGGCTGCTTAAAACAAACATGCTAGCTACATGGCTCTGAATATAAACTGATTTGTGCACGCCTAAAGCTGAATATAAACTGATATGTGCACGCATAAAGCTTAAAAAGAGCATATATTTAAAACAAATGAGTTCTCTCCTGAACCAGGTAGTGAAGATCAAATTCATTAAACTTCCTTATGACAATTTCTTCTAATTACCAATGAATTCAGTCAGTGCCCATTCCATTCAAAAATCATTCACAAGAAAGTCTAGCAAGAGACACTTACCTGATCGTTCAAAAATGAACTTTTGTAGTCCATTAGCTGGGAATTCCTTGTCCCCTTTTCTTCCACAACTTTCAGTCAACAAGCTTTGAGAAAGATAAGCAGATCCCAATGGAACCACAACAGCTGCCATATTGTCCATGCTGCCCCTCTTGAAGGCAGTATTCACTAAGCAATCAGCCAGTGAAAGTGAGCATGAAGAAGATAGTCTTGATCCAATAGTCGCATGATTCTTTACTTCCCAAAGTAAATCACAAACATCCTGCAAGCTCAACTTTTCAAATACGCCATCAGAGCCAACCACCAGATAACTATCATTAGCAGTCAGAGATTGCCAATCTGTCACCTCCGGTGCAGCAATAACACCGTAACTGGAGAAACATGCACAGAATAATTTTTAATAAAATTTTTTAAGATAAAGAGAGTTTTAAAATATAATAAGATGAAAATTGTTGATTGGAAAAACAAACATAATGTAAAAGTAAAGCAGAAAGCACAGACATGCATAACTTAGAAAATGTTATTGCTATCTAAATAATAGATACCAAAAGATTAATCTTTGTGTACTTCAAATGAGGATATTTCCCATTTCTTAGTAATATGTGAATTTTAATAGATTTTTTAAAAATAAAGCAAACCATTCTATATTTAAAAAGAAAGAAAACCTTCTAAGAAACCTATATATGCATAATAAAAACATTTTTATTAACATGGAGCCATGCACCGACTTAAGAAAATAACTCTCTCCCTTCAAAAAAATTTACCAAGATGTCAACAGACTTTAACCAGCAATTTTAGTTTTATTTTAAGCAAATTTAAGCTGAATTACACTATGCTAATCACAATCTCAAAATTTTCTGGAGGTTATTGTCAAATAGAAGATAAATGGAGAAAAGCTACATGAACTCTCAGTAGAATTTGACTCTTCCAATTTAGAACACCACCTTTTATATAATACATCACCAATAGCACGGGAAATCGCTAGCTGACCATTCACACGTGGCACACCACCCCAATCAACAACATAGCCACCAGCCGCTTCTACTCGAGACCTTTCATCATCTCGATCAGGGTGATGATCTCTAGTTAGTTCCTTGACAACATAATACACTAATCCACTGGATGCAGCCAGTTTAAAGTTAGAATTTCTTAAAGGTGAAGCAGCACCATTGCGCCTCTGCTCCTTGTACAATTGTAACAAAGTTGCTGCAATATGCAAGCTACACGAGATGAATAAACTTCACCATTTTCTTGTGGATTTAGAAAAAAAAAAAAATTAACAGTAATACTCTACACTCTGACATGCAATGACATGATTTGATAGACAACACTCTATGAGTAACTTTTTTAAGGGAAGGAGGTGGGAAAAATATCTTCTAATCATGCTATGGAGAATATATTTGAGTCCAGGGAAATTTTAGGTCAATTCAAGTGCCAACCAAAGATTCATCTTACCTTTAGCCTCAGTAGGAGAATGAAATTTTTCAGAACACAGAATGGCTTTGGAATCTCCAATGTTGGCAACTAAAATTTGACCATCTGCTATCAGTATAACTGTAGCTGTTGAACCCGAACCAAGGTTATTTCTAGATGCTTCCTTCACAGATTGAAATCACATCAATATAAAAGAAAGTTTAATGCACATAGATCTGAAGAAGTGAAAGAGAAAACCAATTGAAGATACCTTGGAAAATTTTGCATCTATGTCATGGATTGCCCTTAACAAAGCTTCCTTCAATATGTCCAAGTGAAAAGAATCATCAAGATTTTCTGGGACAAGGAACTTAAATCTGTGCAAGCATTTATACTTGGGATTAGATATCACCAACAGCAACCAACAGCTATATCCATTTTTCTAAAACAAGGAACAGAAACATAAACATGTCCTGAGTGTACTTATGAAAGCACCTTTCAGAGTTCAATTCATGCCCTCCAAGTTCTTCGTCCCGGTTAAGCACTTGGAAAACAATATCCCGTTCTCCCACATTTGGCAACCTACCTGAGGGTTTCTTCAATACAACAGAAAAAGTTGCATCCAAAAGGAAATATGTATGCAAAGCAAAATACTCCAGTAAAAGTTTTGAAGCCATATCACTAGCTTCAGCACCATTATGACCATCAAAAACTGCAACAACTCCAACTGTAACTTGCCTAACCCCCATTTTGCCTGCCCCAATATAGAAAAATTTATATATTAAACCACTATAGCATGAGACTTAAGACAAGTTATTAAATCTTTGATATATACAAACTTCTTCAACCATCAAAAAAATCAGGAAAAATACAGAATCATTAATCATTTAATAAGATCCTTCTGGAACAAAATTGCCTCTATAAGAACACTAAGTCAGTAGTAAACTTTGAAGTTAATAGTCTAGTTTAGCAAAATATCTCTCCACTTTTACAATCCACCCATATTTGAGTTAAGTTAATATCATCACTACATAGATTCCAGTCATTAGAATCGAACTAGGCATTTAATTAACAGACAAAACTTCATAACTTTAACCTTAAAAAAATTAAATCCCTATCTAGGATTTTTTTCCCCAAAGTGATGAAGTTTTTTAATAAAATAACCACTAAAAGCAAATTCATTCAACAAAAAACCCTAGAAGACAATTAATTCTCATTCTCAAATCCTAACATAAAAACTGTTATTAAATTGTAACATAAATTTATCATGTTCTTTAGTTAAACTCTACTGCATCACTAGTAAAAACAATTTCTTTATAAACACATTGTAAAACCCTAAAAAACATAACGCCACACAAATAGAAACAGAGAGGAAGATAGAGAGATACTTGGAAAGGGAATGTGAAGATCGAGCATGCAGAGAGTGCGATCTTCCATGTGCTTTCTTCGACCCTGGAGCATGGCCGATTGGCAACGTGCCGTCCTGGAGGTGGCGGCGCGTTTACCGGAGTCGTAACTCGGAAGCTTCCAACGAGGGCATTTTGGAGATTGGAACACCGCAGGTGCACCGCCTTCTTTGTAAACCGTCAAACAGGTAGAGGATTCTCCATGAGAACGTGTCGTGGAGCACACCAGGAATCCTAAAACGAATACCACTAACTTGAACGGCATCGTGATAGTGTCACTCATTAACCGACTTAGATTTTCATTGATGGAATGTAACCGCAAAGATGAACAATTGACATAAATCTTGAGGAAAGAAAGGAATAGAACCACGCGCTAACTGCAAATTTGTTCGCCCGGTTTTGTAAAGCTGGGGTTTTCGGTCTTTTTATTTATTTATTTCGGCAGGTCTTGTTCTGTATTTAGGGGGAATTTTAAATGCACCACATTATATATATACCATATTTTTATATACATCTCAATTTTAAAATTTATTTTTTATTTCTATTAATTACATTCCATCTCTTATTTTACCCTTTTCCATTCGTATCATTTCTTTTTTCTTTTCTTTTCACTTTTTAATGTCATGTTTATCGAAAATGAATATTCAAAAAAATTTTGAAACTTTTTTAAAATGTATATCTAAGATTTTTTAAATCTTTTTGAATATTTATTTTCAAAAATTTTCAAAACCTTTTTTATATTCATTTTAAAAAACTATCAAAAGTTAGTAAATATATATATTTTTAAGAAATCTTTAGTTACCTCATAAATGAATATACGAGAATAATTTAAATTTTTCGGATCTCTAAATCCAATAAATTTGGAGTTCTTGATTTTTTAGGACTAGACAAATCTACCAATAAAGAACTTTAATCTTTTGACCACTAAGTACTGACCATTCAATAATGTTTGTAATATTTTTACAATTTTAACAGATGTGCATCTGAAAAAAATTATTAAGTGTGAAAAGGTACTCGTGCAAATTGACCACTACACCATATGCTATAAAGCGTGACTGTCTCATAATGCATGATGAGTATTCACTTGCACGAGTATTTTTTACAATTAACGATTTCTTTTCAACTATATGTTTATTAAAATTGAATAAATGTTGTAAACATTATTCATTGGATAGTGCTTTATCGAAAGATTAAAAGTTTCTACTATCGGATATACATATTTCATATGTTGAAGTTGATGATACTTTTTAGTGGCTTCAATATTAAAGATTTCAAATTTTCTATTACCAAGAGTTTATAATTAAATATAATTTTTTTAAAAAGTTAATGTATTCTCAAAACTAAACTTTCGAAACTTATATTATTTTGTCATAAATTCATTTATGAGAAAGCAATACAAGTCTCGAAAATAGATTTCTAAGAGATATGTTTTGTTATCGGTAATCCATTATCGGGAATTATAATACTTTCTAAAAAATGAATTTCCAATAACACAATATAATACTCATAAATCCATTTCCGAGAAATACACGATAGTTTTTAAGTATATACGTTATTAAGAGTATTTTCATCATTTAACAAATATTAAAATTGACATTTGGTATGTGGGTATTTTTAAAATTAAATTTTATGGTATAAAAAGAAAATTTGGTGGTGTATTCAAAACACCTATTTTTTATAATGGGACTATTTACACCCCAAAAAATTATCAATAGACAAAAAAAAATTAATAGTAAATTACTTAAATACTCATTAATTAATTATTTTTTTATCCTTTACATCCTTTCTTAGTAAATTATGGGAAATAAATTTGTGAAAACTTTTTTGGTGTACTAGAAATTCATTTCCAAAAACTTCTTAATTCTATCATAAATTTATTTTCGAAAACTTTTTGACTTTACTGAAAATTCATTTTGGGAAAACATTGCAATTATTTAGAAACTTTAAAGAATTTCTAGTACATTAAAGAAGTTTATGGATATATCAATTTCTAAAAACCTTCTATAATTTTTGAAAATTTATTTTCAAAATATTCGAATTGTTATTTTAAATCATATCTCTAAACTTAAATTCTTAAATATTTTAAACTAAATATAAAACCAAACGAAAAAATAAAAAAACAATAAATAATTTACTTATGATTCTAAGCTATCTAATATCAAATGAGTGATTGAAGATTGATTTTGGACTTAATCCCTAAAATGTTTAGGGCTTTTCAGTGAAGAAAAAGAGAAGAAGTGTGGGGTGTTGGAATTTTTTAGTAAACTAATGTTTTAGTTTAGGGTGTGAAAAAAAATGAGTGTTTAATAATAATGAAGTGCGAAGAGAGAAAGTGAGGGTGTAAATAGCACTTCTTTTTTTTATCTTTCCAAGCAATTTATAGGGTTCATTTACCGTTTTTAGCCCATAAGTTTAAATTTTGGCTCAATATGAAAAAAAAAAAAAAAAAGAGAAAAAGGGCAAACAAAATTTTCATTCTATTTTCTATATAAGTGTTTTTTAATAAAAAAAGACTTAACATCTAAAAAATGTAAATAAATTTTTATTTTTTATTACTGTCGTAACGTCTAGATCCGGGATCTATCGCCAGACATTGACTTTAGGGAGTCGCCACCAATCTTTTTTTATCCAGGTGTGATTGGCCACCTAAGGAATCTGCCCTTTTAGGGAACACCTAAGCTTAAGGGTCCCTAAAAGAATAGGTTCGGGTCTGCTTTAACCAGAACAGAGTTCGGGAGTTCGCGTTACGTGTGAGGAAGGTTATAGCACCCTCACAACGCCCATCAAAAGATGGTACCAGCTTGAATTTGTGTTATCCAAAAGCCTTAAAATTTTACCAAGTAGTTAGTTGTTGAAAATTATTCTCAATTGACTCTAATACTTTTAGCAGAAAATTGAGAAAATTCCCTCACCTCAAGAGTATGCAAGAAAAACTACTGTTTCACTTGCAGAGGCTCCGTCGTCGGATTATTTAAAGAAAAATCAAGATCAACCAATTAATTAATTATCGAAAATTATTCTCAATTGACTCTAATACTTTTAGCAGAAAATTGAGAAAATTCCCTCACCTCAGGAGTATGCAAGAAAAACTACTGTTTCACTTGCAGAGGCTCCGTCGTCGGATTAATTAAAGAAAAAAAAATCAAAATCAGCCAAGTAATTAATTATCGGAAATTATTCTCAATTGACTCTAATACTTTTAGCAGAAAATTGAGAAATTCCCTCACCTCAGGAGTATGCAAGAAAAACTATTGTTTTTACTTGTAGAGGCTCCGTCGTCGGATTAATTAAAGAATAAAGAAAAAAAAATCAAGATCAAAATCAAAGTCAAATAAAAAAAAAAATTCAAAAAATTCAAAAAAAAAAAAAAAAAAACCTGGAGCGGCTCGGATCGCGGCTCGGCTTGGTGCGGCTCGGCTCGGCTCGGCTCGGCTCGGAGGGGCTGAAACGCGCGGGTCAGAAAGCGGGTCGACGCTTCGGGTCGGGTCGGGTTCGGCAAAACGCGCGGATCCTCTTATTAACTTAAAGCCAAAACGATGTCGTTTTGGGAGGGTATAAAAGGCACCTTCCTCCATTTTTTCAGCAGACCGTTCCTCCCCTCTCTCTCTCTTCTTCCCTTCTTCTCTGCCTTCTCTCTAGAATTTGAAGAACGTCGGTGCCGGATTCTGGAAAATTCGCCGGAATCTGGGAATTTCGCCGGAAATTGGCCGGATGGTCGTCGGTTTCTGGGATTCTCCGCCGGAAACTGGGTCTGTCGCCGGAAACTTCAAAGTTCGCCGGAATTGTCGCCGGAAAATTCAAAAGTCGCCGGAATTTTCGCCGGAATCTGGAAATTTCCCAGAAATTTCCAGAAAATTTTTTCGCCAAATTTTTCTAAAAAATTTTTCTCACTGCCAGAACACTCCTAAACTTTTCCTTAGCTCTCTAAACACCCTTATTCTCTCAATCAGTAGCTTTTGCTTCTGTTTTCTCCCTGTTCTTGAACTGTTCCAGGAGGTGCTTTATATAGGGATTGATCAGGAGTTTCTGATCAATCCCAATTCCTCCTTGGACGGGAATTCAGTCTTTGAATCCAATTGGACTCTCTTGATTGAATTCCCATTCCCGGTAAGATTCTTCAGCTTCAATCTTAGCCCTCCAAAATCAAAAATAAAAAAATACTAGATAATAATCAGATAAATCAAAAGATATTTAAAAAAAAAAAAATATCTGATAATCAGGAAAAATCAGAACAGATAATTAAAAATAATAATAATAATAATAATAATAATAAATAAGATAAACCCAAGTATATATTACAAAATAATAATAATAATAATAATAATAATAAATATATAACTATATACATATAAATCTAATCTAATAAAAAAATAAATAAATATATACATAATAATAATAATAATAAAATACATAAATACAAAAGAAAAAAAAAAAAAAAATACAGGATTGAATTGAGCCTTACCGTTTGACCAGGCTCAATTGATCTGGGCCCGGACCCAATTGGATGTCTACAATTACATTAAATTAAAATTATAAAGTATATTTCATTGTAATTATATCCATTAAATCTCTTCATTTATAAAATTTTACTTCATTATTTTAAAAAAGGTCAAGTAGTGCTACTAGATATTTAGCATTTGTTTATGATTTATTCTAAAAAAATATTAATTTATCGATATGAGGGTGGTCTGCCATTGTGTTTTTCTGTGTCATGCTGATATTAAAAATTATTACATGTAACAAAAATAATTTACTAAAATAAAAGATTTTATATATACAAGACATAGGGAAGAAGAACTACACAAATAGAATTCTTTTCTTCCCATGCCATGATGTGCTGTGTTGATAAAAGCCGGAATATCCAGCTTGGCACTTTGAACTGCTAAAAGTAAAGGCATCGACGCTTGTTTAACTGGAATGCCGCAAAACCAAATATATATATATATATATATATATATATATTCTTCCAGCGACACGTGTATGAGTTACCATTGCATCTTCCTAATGGAATTGGCCACGTATTTGAATTCTCAAAAAATAATTTATTAATTTCTATAATTATTTTATCTTACAAAATGTATGTTTTTTCTCGAACAATGTAGAAAGTTCGACATAAAAAATAAATATTTGTTAGTGACGTGGTCTTATTTTTTTGGCATTAATGTGGTTTTTCTGCGTGGCCTTATATATTTATTTATAAAAAATATATTTGATATATTATTATTTAAATATTTTAATTTTATAAACAAAATTAATAAGGTACTATATGTTTTATTTTTTAAATATATATTAAATAATATGTATCATACCATTAATTTCAATTATAAAATAAAAATTTTACTATTAAAATATTTAATAATTTTTCTTTATAAAAATCTGGTTGAATTGATGTCATTTTATGTTATGAATAAGTGATTCATTTCAATTATAAAAATTATTTAAAATTTAAAATAAAATAAATGATAAAAAAATATATGAATAGAAATATTTATGTATTTTTATTATTTTGTTTTATATTTAAATTTTAATTATTCACTTATCAAATAATTTATCAGAAATTTATAAATATTTAACAGATTTTTTTTTTGTAAATATTCCAGTCATTATAATTTATCTTGAAAATACTAAAATAATTAAATCTTTGCCGTATTCTTTTGGGTTTAAAATTAAGATAAGATCAATTTGTATGACACCTTTTGCAAATGAGTTATCCACTCGTCGCCTTCACCGTTGTAAAGGAATGCGAGACGTGTCGTGTTTATGCATGCCACAGTGTCCAGCATGTATTGTCTTGCAATATTCAAACCTGCCATTATTTCTCTTAGTCATATAATACGAATTTCAGATGGAGAAGGCAACTCCAATATAATATTTTTTTTATTAACAAAATTCAAAATAGATAAATTATTTAATTTTTTAAGACAAATAAAATATATCATATTTGATAATTTAAAATAAATAATTATAAATTATTTAAAATAATTTTAATAACGATTATTGATAATAATATAATATTATTTTAATAAAATATAATAAAATAAGTATTTTTTTTTGTGATTATTAGCAACCAACATTAATAAAACAGCATCACGGACCAAATATTACTATAAACTAGAATATTGAAATTAGATATTCACTACTATAAGCAATTTTATTTTTGTCTGGCCAAAAAAAGGCAATTTTTGTGTAAAAAAACAATTGGGTAGATTTGTGAATAAATGATTGAGATGGAATAAGTAAATTATTCTGGTAAGTGCATAAAATATTTTAACCATGATATTTTACTCCAAATGTTTCAAGAACTTTACTGCGATAAACAATAATTACCGAGATTCAACACAAATGACATATTAATGCACTAATGAATAAATGATGTTACATTCAATTTTTATTAAAAAAAAGCATAGATAAATTTTGAGCTGGCACTAAAAATAAAATGAGAATTATATTTTTATATTTGAATTTGGGAAAAATATATAATTTGGTGTTCGAAGAAAAAAATTTATAATTTACATCTTAAATTTTGGAATAATGTATTATTTTATTTAAATTATAATATTGTTAACTTAACTTGTTTATATGGTATTTAAATAGTATGATTATATTATATGCATGTCATTTATTAAATAAAAATATTAAATATTCTGTAACAATTTTATATAAATATCATATGGATTTCATGTAATAAAAAATATTGATTAATTTTAGATAATTTTTACAATTCAAGTAAAAAATATATTTTTAATTTATATTAAAAAATATTTTTATAATAAATTTAGAACACATAATTTAATAATATTTATAATAAAAAACCACATATATATAAATTAATATAATTAGTGGGATTAGAATTTGAATTAACATGATATATAATTTAAAATTTTATTGTACAAATTATGCATTTTACTTTTTAAGATATTAATTTATAAAAAATTTTTAATTCAAATAATAAATATATAATTAACTCAAATAAATTTTACAAATTTTCTTAATCTTTATTATTTTGATCAACCTAACTTGTTTTGTTTTATTTTTTAAAAGATAAAGATAGAAAAGTAATTAAGAGGTCGTTAGTAAAAGTAGCATAAAAGATTTTATTTTTCACATGAAACTCAAGTGTTGTAGGGAGTGTAAAGAGTTCATCCTTCCAAAAGTAGGAGAAAACAAAATTGAAATTTTTTTCTAAAGTCATAATCACCATAACCACATATTTTTCATTTATCTTCTTTATTTTTATTTATTTTTAAAAAAATTTTAATATACCCTTAAAATTTTTTTATTCTACTACATATCTAATTAAATAAGATATCACACGTCTAAATTTTTTCAATTCGTAATTTTTAAGTGTTAAATTTAATAATATATCAATTAATTCAAAAAATAATTTATTATTAATTTTTTTATTTAATAGCATATATATATATATATATTCAACTTGAGATACATTATAGATCAAAAAGGAAAAGAAATAGTGAAAGTTGGGAAAAAAATGTCCATTATGGTACATCTCTTCTCAATTCTCATTCCATTTACCAAGCCAACCAACACAAATCCATACCTTACTATGTTCTTCTACAGCACCAAAAGAGTAAAACCTTACATGATTTGTGAGATTTTTGCTCTGAATCTAGTAGTGATTTCCAACTGATTTAGACCTCAATTATAAGTTGGGTCCATTTTTCAAGCAATAAAAATTTTATATCATTATTTTATAAATAAAAAATAGATATGTATATAAAAATGGGACTCGCACCATGCTCCTCCCATGTCCTCCATACTCTTTTTAAGTTCCAGAACTTTCCAAAGATCACACACGAATTTTTTTATTAAATATATATGATAATTTAAAATATGAAATAATGATATGATAATATGAAAATAAAAAAAATAATATGATTTAAAATTTTAATAATAATTATATATAAATTTAATATAATTAAAAAATATATTTTATAGATTTATATTAATTAAAATTATGATATATAATTTTTATATAAAATATAAATGTATAAAATATAATATAAATATATAAATTTTAATATTTTTTTTGCAATACGAATATGCAAAAGGGCCAATTGCTACAAACAAAACATAGAAAAAGGTTTTTTTTTTTTTAATAAAAAGATTTATGTTTTTCTCATCTTACAATTTAATCATAATAAAATATAAAATCAATAAAATAATGAGTTCCATTTTATAGCTCTAGAACTTTCTAAATGATATTTAAAAACACCCACTAGCTCTATGTTAATTTTCGGCCCTTTATACACTGCTTTCGTGGCTTCTTTATGTACAAGCGTGACACTGCTGCCAAGCTCTACTGTAACGGCATAAACGACCTCCCTAGCAAAACTTAAAAAAAAAAAAAAAAAGGAAAAAAAAATCTAAAGCGTCACTCTGCCCTTCTCTTTCTTTTTCGTAATTCTCTGTTTCATTTTCTGTTTGGATCCAGCTTCAATTTTTTGTTTATGGATTTTTTTTGCATCTTTGAGTCCTTAGCTTGGATTATATGAAGTTTCCTCTGTTTTTAAATTCACGTTGTTTCCTTTCTTCGTTTTAACCACTCTCCATTTGATCAATACAAATTTTCCAGCAATAAACTTAGAAATCATCGAAGACAGTAATTGAATCCAATAAAGAATAAAATCAAATTGTTTTTGAACCATGTATCCATATTTTCCGGTAAAGGAAGAGTACCCGAGTTCAAGTTATTCACAGTCCGAAGAAGACCCGTCAATGATGATGCCGCCACCACCTCAGCCGATGGAGGGTCTCCATGATTCAGGGCCACCGCCATTTCTTACTAAAACCTTTGACATGGTGGACGATCCTAATACTAATTACATAGTTTCTTGGAGCAGAGGAGGCAGCAGCTTTGTTGTATGGGATCCTCACTCTTTCTCCATTAATCTCCTCCCTAGATTTTTCAAGCACAATAATTTCTCTAGTTTTGTTAGGCAGCTGAATACTTACGTAAGTGTTCTTATCTGCTAACTTCTGTTTTCAATTTTGAATTTTCTGTTCAAATTCAGATTAAAACAGGGGTACTTTGAAAGTTTAGCAATGATTTTGGCTTCTGAGTAAAATGTTCTTCTGGGGTTTCTTTTAATTTCCTCTATTTTAGCTATTTTTTCATTTTCTTTGTGCAAGTTTACTTCACGACTGCTCCTGGATGAAAGTCTTTCTGGGTTTTCTCAAATTGTTAAGTATCTTATGTCTCCGTGTTCATTGGATGCTAATAATTTCCTCTTTACCGTTTATAAGAAATGCTTTCATATTGGTACAAATTCTTATTCATATTTTATAATTGATGCTTGAGATTGTTCTTGAAAGTTCTAGAATCCTACATGAATTCCAGATCAGAAAAGCCAATAAACCCATGATATATATATTTTTAATTCTGTTTGGATAGAAAATTCTTTGAACCCCTTTCCGGGTTTTCCTCTCCATTATTTTATGCATTTTAACTTTCGAGCAATGAGATGAGTGCCACCATTTATTTTAATATCTCTGCTACGTTTCTTAATTTTACTGCTATAATATTTAATTTCATATTTTCAATTTGCCAACTTCATGCACATCCAAATGTATTCCGAATCTCATTTGGTTTTTTATTGTTGTTTTCACCTGCTGTGGTTCTTTCTGGAAGTGGGACCTTGCTCCATTATTTTTTTGGTGGCAAGACTAAGAAATATAATACTATTACTTATTCAGTATGATGTACTTGAATTCTTAACTATTTCTGTTCCATCACCATTGGGATTAAAAATAAATTATTAGTTTCTAAAGTTTTGATTGGTTATAGTGTGATTTCATTCAGCCTGAAATTTTTTTATAGTTGATAACTGATGATGAATATGGAATTTTATTTTTCCTGTAGCGTTTTAGAAAGATTGATCCAGACAAGTGGGAGTTTGCCAATGAAGGGTTTCTGAGGGGCCAGAAGCATCTCCTGAAGAACATTAGGAGAAGAAGGACCACATCTCAGCCCTCACCGTCTCAACAAGCTCTTGGTCCCTGCGTTGAAGTTGGCAGGTTTGGACTAGACGGAGAAGTTGATCGTTTGAGGCGCGACAAGCAGGTCCTAATGATGGAATTAATGAAGCTAAGACAGCAGCAACAGAACACTCGAAGCTATCTGCAGGCCTTGGAAGAAAGGCTGCAAGGCACAGAAAAGAAGCAGCAACAGATGATGTCTTTCTTGGCTAGAGCAATGAAGAATCCTGCCTTTCTACAGCAGCTAATCCAACAAAAAGAGCAGAGAAAGGAGCTTGAAGAAGCAATGTCTAAGAAAAGGAGGCGGCCAATTGATAAAGGACCTACTGGTGTTGATGTGGGTGAATCAAGCCAAGGTAGCGAGGGAATAAATCCTGTTAAAACTGAACCTTTAGAATTTGGTGATTATGGATACCAGGTAACAGAGTTGGAAGCACTTGCACTGGAAATGCAAGGCTATGGTAGGGCAAGAAGGGAACAAGAGGAAGCACAAGATGAGCTCCAAAATAGGGAGAGTTATGACAAAGATCTCGATGAAGGATTTTGGGAAGAATTATTGAATGAAAGATTTGAAGGAGAGTTAGATGTACCGGGAACTGAAGCTGGTGAAGATGAAGATGTGAATGTATTGGCTGATCGGTTGGGTTATTTGGGTTCAAGTCCAAAGTAAGAGAAACTGAACATCTAGATTCTATAGCATTGCTAGTTGTAAGGGCCCGTTCAGCATTCCCTCGGTGACAATTTTTCTCTAATTTTTCTGCAAATGGGTCTTAAAAAAAACCAGTTAGGCCATGATCTTCACATTGCTTTGATGCTTTCTTGTTATTGGCAGGATAGGGGCAATTACATACCAAGACCGTATCCCGTGGAAAATCTCTCGTCACTGGTGTTTCTAACCCTGTTTTCTTCATCTGCCATTCCATTTTTCCCTTTTGTATTTCCTTTGCCGCTTATCTTTCTCTATCTTTGGTTAGGAGAGCAGCTGTAGATCAGAATCTGTGGTAACACTAGTCCCTCAGACTTTCAGTTCTTGTTTTTTTTTACCCCTTGAAAAACACCCATTGTACTATATGCACAAATGCATTTAATTCACCATTTGGCTGCCCTCTTGTAATTCTTTTTCTTGGCCTCGAATGAGTGTAGATTATTCTGAAGCTGTTGAAAATCGACAAGATGTAGCTGCAAGTTGCAAAAAAAAACACAACTAATATGTTGCTATTGGATCCAATCCAATGATGATTACTCGGTAGTTTTTAACCTTTTTGTCGGTTCTCTTTTCCTGTATTTAAGTTTGTCTCTTTCTCTCTTTTATTGTAAGAAGTAGGAGAGGGAAATGGTGTATCATGAAAGTGTTGCCTTGTCATTTTCAACATTATAATTTTTTCATGGCTACGGCAAATGGATTCTCACGGATCGCTTTCAAATCTTTCACCAATTGTTACAGCTTTCGGTAACAAATGATTTGGTTTGCTTGTTTCTGCTGATATTGCTTTCGCCTATTGTCCTCTAGATGATGAATTATTCAAGAATTCCGTGATAAGAGCTAGAGATTTTTATCTTCGTTTGCTGTCTTTTTCATCAAAAGTTGGGATTTGCAGAGTAAATTGAAAATGACTTGGTGTCATCGGAGGATATGAACATGATGCGTATACTCATCGTCAAATTTTCTCATTTTGTGGCGGAAATTGCATAGAGACGCATATGTCGATTATGGTTACCACCCTAAAATCCATTGAAATTTGTTTAAACATTAAAAAAAAAAAAAAGACAGAAGGAAGAACTACTAGAAAAAATGGAAAAGCAAGAAGGCAAAAATATTGACGCAGTTAAAAGCATGGTTGAGTTGGTAAAGATTGAATATTATGTATGTAAGGTGTAAGTTTGATTTTTGTTGTCAGTAATTTTTTTGAGAAATAATTTATAAATTTAATATAATTTTTTTTTAAGATTTATCGTTTATTATAATTTTTTAATTAAAAAATTTATCCTCATCTTAAATTAATATGTAAAAAAATTGATAATGAAAAATTAATCTTTCAAGATTTACAGTAATTCATCTTCATAATCCACAATTTCAATGACAAAAAATTTCACTAATACAATTATTTGAAGAGAGAAAATATAATCATACGAGAAATAATTTTTTTTTTATTATAAAATTAAATCGAGATTTAATGACCTAACCCAAATTACAAGATATCCTTAAGCACTTTATTCTTCTTTGTCTTGCATTGTAAGTTTTTGGTTTGACTTCAATGGCTTATCATTAAGTCTTCATTACTTAGGACATTCAACTTGTCAAATCTTATCTATTCAACTTTGGAAGGAATTATTAAAAAAAAAAAAAAAACCATTAGAAGGAATTACACAAATTTGAATTTGTCAATATAAAAAAAATGGAAATATTCATAATTTTTATCAAATCAAGCCAAGTCTTCTTGACATTACATGAAGTTTGAGTTCAAGTTGGAATAGAAATTAAAATTTTTACATTAAAATTCATGTAATTTATTGATAAAATATTAAACTCTTAATTTCAGTGATCAAGATTTAATTTTTACATCTTTAAATTAAAAAAAAATAGAATATGTATATTTAGATTGAGTTTATTAGGTTTTTTCAATATCAAAATTAATTCGAAAAAAACCTAAATTAATATTATTATGTATTATAATCTTAAATATGCATATTATATTTTAAAAAAAAAAGAACTTTGTATAATTTTGAAATTAAAATTTCTATTAAACATATGAACCATTCAAGATAAAAGGTATTTAACAGTCCTATACCAACCAATATACTACAAAGGCCCATGAATAATGGGCTTTAAGCTTCGATCTTAAGCGTCTAAAAGCCCAAACAGCAGAAACAAAAGGAAGCATCCTCGATTCTCATTTCAAATGCTGGCTGGGAAAAGGAAAGGTATTCCCTCTGAATATATATCACTCTTCAACAGGATTTCGTAGGGTGAGTAATTGCTTTCTATTAGTTTTCTCCATTCCTGTTCCTTTAAATTTTATAGATTTTTTTTTCGCAGTAAAAAACTATGCTACACTTGTTGTAAATCCATGGATTTTGGAATTAACGTTGCTTCGAATAGTTGAAAGCTTACTCGTTTGGATTAATTTCTTGATTTTTCTTTTCAAGAAATTACTGTTAATTAAGTCAATCTGATGTGATATATCAATTTTATGAGGTTTGATCACGAATGTCTTTTATGCTAATGCTAAAAATCCGAGAATGAATTTGATGATTTTGTTGCTCTTTCTTCAGTAGTCGATATGAGTCACGATGAATTAGTTCAATTGCGTTTGGCTAATTGATGTAGCTTAAACCAATCGATTTAAAGATGCTTAAAAAAATATAAAGATAAGATTAAGAAATCATTTGAGCTTTATTGAAATCTAATGCAAGTTTAAAGTAATGGTCATTTCATTTTGTTAAATGGCTACTGCTTTGTAGTTGATGTTGGTAAGATCATGCAGGAACAAGTTGATTTTATTGCATTTTCGTGTTTTAATGTGGCTTTTTGTTTCGGTTGTTGTTATTCTTAACAGGCCACCATCCTTGGAGGTCGTATTTGATTTGCCTAACTTAAGCATTTTGTTTATAAACGTAGGACAATAACTGTTTGGCGATGTTAGATAAGAATCCGTCTGCCTAGGCATTTTTTAGTGGAGCTTAATATTTTATTGACAACTGGGGCAATGCCTTCGGAATGAAGCATGGGGACTCAGTTGCAGGACCCATAAAAAATCCTGCAACTTACCAGGTAAACTGTTATCTTTTAAAACAAGTAATGTTAGGCCTTCTATTTCTCACATAAAATGATGAGAAACACTTTGATTAGATAGCGATGTGCAAATTGCTAAATGTGTAATTATTCTTATATCTGGTAATCATTTATCAAATACAGAGGAAAAGGTAAAGACTAAATAACACGGTTTTTTCTATTTGTTCAAGTTCTTGTCAAACATGATCATGGGGTAATTAAGTTAGGTCAATATTTAAATGATTCTATTCTTGTCAATGACATTCTCGTGATGAGTGTTTGTTTTGTTTGTAATATAATTTTAAGCAAGTGGGTGGCTATATGGCCTACATGATATAACTGGTGCTTGGGAAGTATGTTTCACTTTCTTTGTAGCAAGACATTGGCATATGGAGACAGAAGAAGTGTTTAAAAGGGATAGGGTCCAGCCAATTGATTAACATCCTTTATTCTTCTCTAGTTAATTATGTGGTTAAATTATGAAGGTAAAAATATTGGAATGGTGACAGAGTAACAGACTGAAAGTAAGTGAACTTGTACAAGTGCTGTATGCCAAGAACGCATTGAATGGGCAAGAACATATAAATATGGTTAATCTTATGATTTACAAAGGAATCAATGCTTAACTATACAATCTAAGACAGTATGATGTTCCATAAAATCATAAAATAGAGCATATGCCATTAATTTTTTTTGGAAAGCAGCCTATGGTGTGTGTTATTTGTTGGAAGAAAAACAAAATACTGCTGAACTTTGCATGGACTATCAGTTTACACAAGGCTGGTAATAAACTGCTTGAGCTTCATTAACGGAGTTGTAGTAAAATAAATTTTGGCCCGATGGTGATAATTGGTATATCCGCGAGAGAAATTGGAGGGAGGTAAACAGCTATAAGATAGTGATGTCTAATGGTGTATAATAAGGAACTAAAATGCAAAAATGAAATGATGAGAAATTTGTTGATGCATGACTGACAAGAAATAGTGGTCAGTCTTTGCATTGGGAATGGTTGAACATATGAAGTGTAGCTGACTAGATATACGGAGTCATTTCATGGAGTGGTCATGCATAATTGGAGAAAATGTTTGGTACAATAAAGGGGAGGTCAAAAATGATGCGAGTGTAGTAAAGAGAAGTTGGCAAAATGAATGACCAGGTTAGAGCATGTCTGTAAAATATGTGTTGTTTATCTTGGCCGAACAGATAGCAGAAGAAAATATTAGAATTTGTTTGACATGATTCTGACCTAGGGTTGGCGGCCCAACCCATCCCTGGCGGGTTCTTACCCGACCTAATCTCATAGGGTAGGTTTTTTTTTTTTTTAAATCGGGTTTTGGGTCGAGTCGGATTTGGGTTTTAGGTAAACCTGATCCGATCCGATATTATATAAAAATTATTTTTTAAATTCTTTATTTATATTTATAATTATATAATTATAGTTTTATATTTTAAAAAATAATATTTTATATTTTTAAAAAATAATATCTTATTAATTTCGGGTTGGATCAGGTACTGTTTATACAATATCAGGTTGGGTCGGGTTCGGGTATGAAAAAAATAAAAAAAAATTTCGAGTCAGGTTTGAGGCGAGCAAAAACTCGTCCCGACCTGACCCGTTGTCAACCCTATTCTGACCGGTACTTTTTCTCTTACGCTTCATGGAATTTTAATTTTGCAAGCACATTTCACATTCAATTCATACGGATGTTTTCTTCTTCTTTTTGTGTCTGATTATTATTTTGAAAAATACAGAATATTTAGAGGGAAAAATAAAGATAGTGAGGAACTAGGCTTCACCGAAAAAGTGCTCACATGCATACAATTCCTGTTCTTTTACTGTTTTAAGCATCAGATACGTGAGAGTTTGCAGATTGTATACTTCTAATTTGTAAAATAGGTTTTTTCATCTATGGAAGTGAATTTCATACTTCAAGTGTTTAAAAACTACCTGGTTAAAACCCTAAATTATCACACAAGAATAATGGCTGGCATTTCTTTTATAGAGCCAACAGAACAATGCTGACAATTAAAGCTAGCTTGCAATCCAACCTATGCAATAGTTGTTTCTATGTGATGGTTACACAAGGTTAATGTGGCCTCACATCAAAGTTTCTGACAATTAAAGCTAGTTTGGAATCCAACCTATGCAATAGTTGTTTCTATTTGATGGTTATACAAGGTTAATGTGGCCTCACATTGAAGCAAGTGGTTGACTTTTTCAGTAATGCGACAAAAAATAATATTG